CTGTACCTCAATTACGCGGCTGAAGCAGCCGGAATCTCGCTGCACAAGTCCAACCTTCTACGCTCGGTGTTGATGTCACAGCGATTAACTGAAGCACGTTTGCAACTTGCTGACTTTGTTAACAACAACGGGGAGCGGGCGTACAGTAACTCCAGTCACGAACCCGACGACGAGACCAGTGCTGCAGCCTCAGTCGCAAGATTTGTGCGTGTAGTCATGGCAGAAGGAAGAAAGCTGCTTCATTGCGACCGATTCGGCTTCTTGTTGGTAGATCCATTGAAAAAGGAGCTCTGGATCACTCAAGAAGACGGAGAGAGAGTTCGGATGCCACTTACCAACGGTCTCTCGGGGCTTATCGCAACAACAGGGAAGATCATTAACACGCGGGACGCTTACACTCATCCGCATTTCGACCCAAGCTTGGATCGCAAGACCGGATACCGCACCACAAGTGTCCTTGGTATGCCCATATTCGAGGATCACACACCAACGAACCCCAAGATTGTTGCGGTCGTTATTGCCATTAACAAGAAAGATGATGACGATACAAACGTCACAGAAGATGTGGCCTCGCGTCGCATCCCCAGACATCGTGTGCCTTTCACTGCTAGCGACGCTGAATGTATGACCCAGTACTGTCGAGAAATTCAATTCGCGCTTGGTCGCTTGTCGCTGGATATCTCGTACTACAAGGTGGTGTCGGACTGTGGACTCAGTGCACCTGGTGAGTCTTTGATCAAATCTGCCGAAGCGCAGGAACAACTGGACGGTATAAATGAACCCGAGATCGTCGCGTCAATCGTGCAGAAGTACTGTCAATCAAGCGAGCTGGACGCACTGGAGGAGATGGCAACGGTTGCTAACACTGACGATCCTGACGAGGTCGAAGACGTGGATGAAGTCAATGGAGGGGAGTACGACGATGAAGGTAGCGAAAAAGACGACGAAGACGAGCATGTGACAGCATTTTTAGCTATCCCGTTCCCTCCACGAAGTCCGCAGCGACGAATCTCAACACCTCGGGAGAATGGACACGTGATTGGAGTCGGTGACGTGACCCGCTGGGACTTTAGCTGCCTGGATCTCTCCAACGTGGACATTTTTGCGGCAGTATCGGTACTTTTCCGCTCGCTGGGTTTGCTGGAGCGCTTCCAAGTCGCACAGGAGACATTCTTCACTTTCCTTTCACATGTGGCGTCTCATTATCGGCCGAACGCTTACCACAATCTCCAACACGCTTTCCAAGTCACACACGCGACGTATTGTCTGCTTCGCCGGTCAGGTGTAGCGCATTCGTACTTCGCACGAGTCGAGATCTTTGCCATGCTCATCGCTGCGTTGTGCCATGACTTGGATCATCCTGGTAACACGAACGACTTCGAGGTCAAGACGCACAGTCAGCTTGCACTCACACACAATGACGACGCCGTTCTGGAACGTCATCACTGCCGCGTTGCCTTCATTATCTTGAGTCATCCAGGCGCGAATCTCTTCGGTCGTTTACCCACACGAGCCTGTTTTGTGTATGTGCGTCGTCTGCTCATCCACTGCATCTTGGCGACAGACATGGCCAAGCACTTCGAGAAGTGTAAGGCACTGGAAGGTCTCTCCAAACGCCATCTTCTCGTCAACACTAACGGAGGCAGAGGAGCGAAGCGGGGTCGCAGCAAACATCGTTTTGTCTTCATGGCAATCCTCATCCACGCAGCAGACTTGTCGGGTCAAGCGTTGTCGTACACTCAAGCAACTCGTTGGGGCATGCGTGTACTCTCCGAATACCAGCAACAAGCGAAGAGCGAAGCCGAACTGCATTTTCCTGTCGAATCCTTCATGGCCAATCTGCACCACGCCAAGACCCGAGTCACCGTGCAGCTTAACTTCATCAATTACGTGCTGCGTCCCATCTGGCTGCCATTGGCCACGTTATGTCCTGCCATGAAGGTATACGCAGACTCGTTAGAATCCAACCGGGAGCGGTACAAAGCTGAACTGGACAAGCTTCAACGTGAAGCAGCAGAGGTTGAAGAACTGGCAAGAGCGAGCGTCCGTGGAGCCAGCTCTCGCAAGCTTGTGGAGCGCATTGCAAGCACGAGACGTCTGCTTGATCACCAGAACGAATACCAGAACTCAAAATGTTAGACAATCACTGTAAGCAAACAGAACGTAGTTAAGACAAATGAAAGTATTGAAAGCCCTGCTATCCACTGAGACACACTGAGACAAAGCCATCCGTTCATCCTCGACGTGACAGAACTTGTGTGCTCTTGGTGCTCACAATGGCCACAACGTTGCTTTGATCCATCAGCACGTCTTCAACAGCACGAGCACGAGCATTCGACAGAAGATCAGACAAAAGACTCTCCACTTCTTCCTCAGCTTCGCCAGCCACCACGATGTGCATCAAAGTGCTGCGTAAAAACTCGGCATCCAGTTGAATCTGCTGCAACCCGAATTTGGACAGCTCCAGCAGCCTCACCCACTCACTGAAGGCCTTGATGCACATTTTAAGCATGGTCTGAACGAATGCATCCGTTGTGAGCTCTAGCTGCGACGGAAAGATGTGGATTTTGCGCGCAAAGATCCGATCAACGTCCAGCTGCATGCCCGACGTTGCACTGGCCACTCCAGCATTGCGGGACCGCAAAGCACTCGCACGCCGACGGAAGTCGCGGCTCGCAGTGCGGCTGTTGGTGCCAATAAAGATGCTCTGGTCATCGCTAAGTGCCAGCGCGACTTCCTTGCCGAATCGAAACGTGGCTTCGACTACCGCTGCCATCATTTCCTGTACACTCCTTGGTTCTTCATCCATGTCAGCCCACGACGTAGCAACCACACCATTGTGAACAATCACACACAACTGGTTACCGTAATGCTTCGCAACGTGCTGCAGTAGCTCTACTGAGGACTCACGGGTCACTTCGATCATGTGCGTTACGTCCTGCTGGTTCATCCGCCGGCTACCAATCGACTCGGAAGATCTCGACGGAGACAGTGGTGCCGGTAAACACTCAATGAGTCCACGCACACACTCACCAATACCCTCAGTCGACAGCTCTTGGCACATGCAAGCGAGAAACAGCAAGAACTGGGGAGTAGATTCCAGTAATGGAAGCGCTATGTTGTCTTGCTCTTCCCAAGTACCAAGCAATCCGTTTGCTTGACTAAATGCCCGCTTGGGCTCCGCATATTGAAGCACTGACGCGTTAAACCACTTGAGAAAATCGTAAAATTGGCTCTAAAACGTCATAAATGCAGGTAGTTAACAACAGTTAGCACTCATATATCGTGTGCAAATAGCAACCGATGTCATACCTGGACCAAGTCAGAGAAGAGTCGACTGAGCTCCGAGAGAATCGCAAAACCTGTTTGCACCATGGGCTCCATGTGCTGCAGCACCTTCTGCATCATGTCGGTAAATTCCCTTGCGGAATGCTGTGCTAAAGGTTGAACGCTTTGTCCACCATCACGCGAGCTTCGTCCCAAACCGCACACATCTTCGTGAGAAGTGACAAACAACTCGCACGTATCCTCGCGTAGCTTTCTGAACACGCCCTCGATCTGGAAACGCACACAGCTCTCCACGATTTCAGCGGCATTCGCTGCGAGTCCACACATCGGGATGGTTCTGTCCACTTCCTGAACTTGTGCGACGAAGTGCTTCATCACGCGCATAAACACAAAGTACTCGCTTTCAACGACAGCTGACGAGAAAGTATCGTCCTGTAGCACGTCGAGGACTTCATCCGTTGATCCCTGTGTGCATGAAAATAAAGAAAAAGTGATCAGAAGGCAGTAGTCGAATATACTCCCAGCAAGGAACGTACAAAGTCAGTGTGAGGACGCTGGAACTGGACAACGCATTCGCCCAGATACAGCGCAAACAGCTCTTTCACAAAGCTCAGGAACAAGTCGTCTCGAACTGCATCGGAAGACTTGCGGGACGGTGACAATTTCTCGCGCGCGACGACTTCGGGCATAAAGTGGGTTTTATACACTGAGAATACGCGGCCCATTTTCGTGAGGACGTCTGCATTAAATCTTTGCAGGAAATCAAGGACAGATGTGGCTGTGCCTTGAGCCTACCGGGAAGATGACGACAATTATAAGTTCAAATGCATCTACGCAACGAAAGCAGCAGCATTAACTGAAAACGAGTATACCTTAAACATGGCCACCGCTCGCTCGAAATACGCTTGATGCCACTCCAAAAACTGGTCTCGGATCTCGTCGTTGCACGCATCTAGTTGATGCAAAAGCACTACCGTGTCGCAGAGCTGTCCAAGCAACGAGTTCAGCTGCATACTTCATGTACACGAAAGAGATGTTCACTATTACCTCCTCTGACTCGAGCGTGGTATCCAGCATCCGCTTTTTCAGCAGACGCTCAAGCTGCTGTATAATTTTCTCTGCTTCCACTTGAATCGCCTAAATAAACAAGATCTGTCAGACAAATTCTATCTACAGCAACATCAAAACAAATATTACTTTGAAGGACGAAATATGCTCATATCTCCCCAGAATCCGACGTGCCAACAGATAATACTTGGTAGCATTGGCGTACTCCTTCTGCTTCACAGCACTACACTTCAATCAGCCACAAAACAACAGTGTATATTCCCTTCGCCATCACGTACGTGTTCAATCTCTGAGGCAATTCAAAAATGAACTCGAACCTCTTGAGTAATCTCCGCACACCGATGAGTTTCTCAACTTTAGAGCGGTGTGGAGCCAGAGCTACGTTGATACTCTCGCTCTTGGAAGTAATGGTGTCCATACTCTTGACCACACGACCCACTTCGTCCTCCATACTGGCCACATTGTTCTACAGCGTCAGAACCAGCGTCAATATCTCACATATTATAGCAGAATATCGCCCTATTAGCTGTAATCTGACCTTCATTTTGCGGATCGTGTCTGTGGCACTGATAAACTTGTTGTAGTTCTCGTACACGAGCATCTGCATGTTGGTGTCAAGCTCTTTGATCTCACGGATCAGCTGGTCGTCCGTTGCCAGAAGATCATTAAGCCCACGAGTCTCCAGCAGCTCCTACAGAGAGACGCGTAAGATGGCTACATTTGGCTGTAAGGGCGACTGGAGCGCACCTTGACGTAAATCTTGGGGTCAAACCCAGGCGAATCGATGTTGCGCAGCTGTTCCTGCCTGCTCTCCTGGTCCTGCAGCCCGTAGTAGCTGCTCAGCAGCTCCTGCATGCGGTTCATGCCGTGGTCCTCCATTGCAGAACTACAAAAGTATTCAGGATTTTTCAGAATCTTCAATTATGCACTTTTATTGGCTGATTTAGAAAGCTCTTCGTTTTGATTGGTTGAATAAGATTTACGATCTAATGAGGATCGTCACACCCATTTTTTGATATCCAAGCAGGTCATCACGATGGACGTGAAGCGGCTGCTGTGGGAGTCCAAGCTGGCGGTGGCGCTGTGTCTGCTCATCATGGCGCGCTGCGTTGATCGTGTGCTTTACACGTGCGCTAAGATAGCTGGAATTGGCTCTTGTATAAACTTGGTAGCTTACATTGTTGTGGATCTCGGAGTGTAGACGAATCACGTACGACTACACCGACTTCCTCTGGTATTTCACGAACGTGATTCTCCCCATCGCCTTCCTGGTCTCGTCGGCTCCCGTAGTAGCGTACGTAGAGGAAATGAGCTATCTACTATCAGATATTCTAGTTATTTTGTTGCTAACTGTGTGTGTACGGATTGCAGCTACAAAATTTACTTTACCGGTGAGTAGATCTGCTACTATTTCTCTTTGATTTATATTTTATAGCTAACAAAGTGAACAGATGACATCACGCCGGAAATGCGTGAGTTCCCGCATTACAAGTACATGCTTATGGCGTTGTTCGACACGCTATACAACCTGCTGGGCGCGTTCCCCACGCCTCACATCGGGTATGTTATACTGTATTATACCACATGTATTTTTCATGTCTTGAAGATTGAATAATGATTTTCTGTCTTCATAGGGGGAATATGGCCAACGTACTGAACCAGCTCAACCTGCCGTTCAATATGGTGCTGTCCTACATGTTCCTGCAGACGCGTTTCAAGCGCGGCCACATTTTGGGCTCCATCCTCGTGCTGTATGGTGGTATGGTCAACTTGATCCCCGCTCTTACTGGCCAAGACAATGCAAACACGCCTGATCCTAGTATGGGATGGATCACTCTCTACATCGTGTCACTGTTGCCAGCTGCAGCATCGAATGTGTACAAGGAGATCGGACTGAAAGACGTGGATCTGGATATCTGGTACGCCAACATTTGGATCAGCTTCTACCAGCTCATCATCGGCTTCGCTACGATATGGACCGTACGTATCAGAGCGTTCAGCGATCCACCAGTGCCCTGGGCAGACTTCCCGTCTTATGTGTGGAAGGCTCACGAATGTTTCATCGGAAACGAAGTGGAGCTGAATGGCAAGGACTTGCCATGTGACTCCGGTGTGCTGGCGGTCTTCCTGGTCTTCATTGTGTTCAACACTATGTACAACCAGCTTATGTTGTACATCTTCAAGGAAGGCAGCAGCGTTCTCTTCGTGGTTTCATCGGCTGTGGGTCTCCCGCTTACGGATCTGCTGTACATGATTCCTCTTCTCACCGGTAAAGCTGCCAGTCAGGCGTTCACTATCTACGATGGCTTCGCTCTTTTCGTGCTAGTTATGGGCTTACTGGTGTACCATTCCGAGAAGGAGGAACGCAAACGCGGCACTGAGTCGGTGGAGAAGTCGCCTATGTACGCGTCACCTTCGCTCCAGAAGACGCACCTCATGCGCAAGCGCCGTGGAAAAGTGGTGTATCGCCAGAGTCCCATGATTCGTCGCAGTGGAAGCGGAAGTGACATCTCGCAGCGGCTTCTAGCTCGCAGTGCCAACAGGAACACCTATGGCTCCAATAGCAACTCCACGGCCCGTCAAACCGGAGAAAATGGCTATAACCCTTAAGCCTGCTTGATTGATCAGATAGCTTTCCCTTCTTTGCTTCGCTTTAATAGAGGGTTGGTTTTATCTCAGTCTTCTGGTGTATGTTCACGTTACTGCGGTGGTAGACCTGCTGGGCGCTTGTAGGCATCAGGGGATAAAGGTGCAGAGGTGAAAATTCGTCCTAGTGATGGGAAGTATCGATCTCCTTTCTTGTTGCGACGCGCTTGAACATTTGCGAAATGGCCAAAACGATCAACTTCCTGAGAAAATCTGTAGCTGTAGTTAAATGTTTCGTCCTCGCTGGGATGTTGCAATTCATCTGGTGTCCTTGGTAGTTTTCTGAGAATTGACGAGGAACTACCGGAGTCAAATAGGGGGTCCAGCATTAAGCAGTACCCTGGGTCTTTATCTCGTCGCTTGGCCTTCGGCTTTGGTCTAGTGAACACATAGTGATGGTGAGGGGGTGACTCGGGCGCAGAACGCGGTTTATTGTTCCCTGTAGGTCTGGTCGATGCAAGATTCACTCCGTTCAACGTTACGGGAGATTTTAATCCCCCGTCAACTACTAGAACCGATGGAGCAGCGTTCAATGGCGACTCTAAGGTAGTCGTACTAGCAACTTCTATCGATTTCCGGGCTTCGTAAATCTCATCCAAGCGTCCTATCGGAGATTTCGGCAGAGTCGGGAATGAAGCACGAGTTTGAGGTGAGTTTTTCAGACTTGGGCTAGTCTTTTGTGTTAATCTTGAGTGTTTTCCTTTGGATTCATCTGCATTCTTCACACTTGACTTCCTACGTTGTTCTTGTTGTCGCTCTAGTCGTTGCTGATGCTCATTAATGAAAGCCATGGTCTCCCGTGCAAGTTCTCCTACAGATTTTTTGTCTCTCAAAGCCATCGGTTTGTTCTTCAGTTCCATCGCGAAATCGAAGGCGATTTGCTTCACTCTCTCCATTATCAACGTCGGTGGTGCCGTCGCTTTGTTGTTTGCCTTCTTCTTTGCATCATCAATCTCGGGAACAGTACCCTTTACGTTTGCCAGATAAGCATGATACTCTCCAAATGGATACGACGCAACAGATCGGATAATAGTCACGGCGTCGTACTGCAACGACTCGAGTTGAGGATTTGAGCCTCCGTCCACTCGACGTCGTGTGAGGAATGGGAACAATAACTCGACAATACCAAGTGCCACTACGCGAGGCACACACACGAGTACATCTTGACTCAGCGCTGCAATCGCGCCTACAGAATGCACCAAAAGTCTCCATTTTTTCACTTCTTCTTTCTTTTTTGATGATGACACTGAGTTTTGCGTCAGTACAAGACTTCGATGCTGTTGTAATACCTTTGTGAGCAGCTCCAACACTCTGAAGTGTAAAAAGAGCTCGCCTGTGCTTCCCTCCACGGCATTAACCATTGCAAGCCGTGAAATAACGACAGCAATCTCACTTTTGCACTCATCATCAACCGTTTGCGAGCTTGGATGCCTCATTTGCATTCGCTTGAGAAGACGATGAAGCACCTGTGCACGCATTACTCCAGTTCGTCCGTCCGCAACTGCACACAGCTTACCGAACAGCATGTAGAGTGGAGCAGGTACATCCAGAAGTCCATGATCATCAACTGATGAACCAAACTCGACACTTTGTCGCTTCGGAGATACTCCTGATCCAGTCGAGATCAGAATTTCGGGTAAATGAGTCAACGCTGCTTGCAAACAACCTTGAGCTAGCAGCATAGTGCACGCAGCATTCGTACATGCCAGTCGACTGAGAGCTACGCAGCACGCACTAACGAGATCGAATCCGGCACTTTTGTTGCGGAGGATGTGCAAAATGGCTGGGGCGACCAACTCAACAAGCTGCAGCAGTTTTTCTTGGGCATATTTTCCGTACGGATGGTTCACGTGAGACTTCAGGAATTTCTCTCGACCACTTTCTCCGTAAGGCAGCGGCCGAATATACCCGGCCAATTCCACTGCAGCTACAACTTTGTTTAGTTCGACATCGGGAAATTCTGCTGCATCACTTGGCATTCGGATGAGCGCGATTAAGTCTTCCAACACGTGCATTCGAAACATAACGTCACAGATTAAGGCTTGGGGCCATTCAGGTACTTGAGCTGAAGTGATAGAGGGTCGAAGCCGTGCATCCACCATGGTACTCGGACATCGTGCTAGTCGACTAAGCGCCTTGCAGGCCTCTTTTGAGCCAAGTTCATGGACAAATCGATCTTCGTATGAGCTACGTGCCAATAACCCCTCGATTTCATCCAGGCGATTGCATTGAATCGAAAGTGCGAGATGATTGACGACATCCTCGGAGAAACACGCTCGAGTTACATGACCAACTTTACACAAACGACCGAGTAATATGCAGCTGATATTGCGCTGTCGAGAATTTTGGACTGGAGACTCCATACAACTCGGTGATACCTGAGTTAGAAACTTCACGAGTGTCGGCAAGGCATCGACGGAGAAGAAGAAAGAGGCAGTCTTCTCTGAGGTACGTGGTGAAGAGTCATCTTGCATTGCCAGGTCCAGTAAGAGCGTGTATAACGCATCTAGCCGCTCTTCGAAGGTCGTTAGCGCTGCAAGTAGAGCTGTGGCTGGTTTCACTTGCTCCGTTTGTCTTGCCAGTAATGCGCAGCCTATGAGTCCCATTACGAACGCCATACGCGATTCACAGGTTTTGAGACTGGGTCGACACCAACGCATGAAAAACTGCATAGCACCTGCTGTCGTAAGTCCGTGACGGGCATCAGTACGGCCAGTCATTTCGTAGAATAAAGTCACTGCAGCCTGAACAACTACCAGGTTGGTATCTTTCATACACATCAGAACAAGCTCAAGCCATCGACCTCCACATCGAGTCAACGCATCAAGCAGTTGAGAAAAACCCAATGACCGAGCAAGCAGACGCAGGATTTCCAATACTTTAGCTCGCAAGGCGTCATTTTTATCTTGGCAGTAACCAAGAACTTCGAACAGCGTATCAAAGACATCCGCAGTTAGCAGAAATTGACGAACTGACGTCTTCAGCTTTCGCATCATGAAGTTCCGCTCCGCTGGAGTCTCAACATTATGTAGATCTTGCACAGGAGAGGGCGTTCTTTTACGAGACGGACTTGTTGGTGTTCTTTGGGCAATTGGTTGCCCCCACTGCTCTGTCGCTTGAAGAACTTTTGTGGCTATGGAGTGCAGCAAATTAAGCGAAGTTGTAAGTGCAGTGGTAGTAGCAGCAGTGCTGTTACCATCCGTTTGCATGATATGCACCAAGTCTAGTTGCAATCTCTGCACGATGTTGCACTGAAGAATTCCCACAATGTACTCATCTCCATGGCCTTCGATGATATTTGACACAATTCCTTTCACCAATTCAATCACTTCACGGCTTTGGCGTCTGGTGATTCGTGACGCCAAACATACCAGTAAGCCTGATCCCAGTATTCGCCTCTGATCCGACAGCACAGTGTTACGGGTTTTATCCGATATCGCATCAGGTCCGCGTTGTAACTTTACCAAATAATACAAAATAGTGATGTACGCCTGTGTGGCGCTGTCAGGAATCCCACCAGGTCCAATTGCTTCGCGAAACACCTTAAATTGGTGGCGTAACTCGACGAATTTGATCATGTACATGGAACGCAGCCGAGTTCGGGCTATCGGATCGCAGTCACGCTGGTTTAGAGAGCGTTCGAAAAGCACTCCACGCCAATGATGCTGGAGAATACGTGCGCATAACTCGGTCTCGCGGAGTAAACACCCGATGCTCTTGTTCGCTGCACTTTCATTTGATAAAACGTGTGCAAACCATTCGGCTAGCACCGCAACAAGTCGAGCCATGCGAAAGATCTTGATATTGTCCGTGAATTTCGACAATGTCCGGAAGGCTTTGTTGGTCAGACTTGGTAAGGAAGTCTCGACGTAGTCCACAGCATCTAGAAATTCAACACAAATGTAGATAAATACAAGATAATTCATGGCGTAAATGACACACATGTTAACGTACCGACCTTCATGGGTCTCTATTAGACGAAGTAGCATGGAAGTAGCAAGTTCGCGTCGTGAATCATCCTCGGAATGTTCAATCTCTTCGTACAAAGTCTCCACCGCCGACTTGATCTTGGTAGAGTTCCAACCTCGCGTATCCCATTCTTGGTCCATTAACATTGTAGCCTAGACATCAATACCATCAATTTCACCACTTTTAAGGTACCAATACTGCCAGGTTTACTTACGATCCGGCCTTCTGTCGCAACGGGGTCTTCCTCTTCTTGCACTCGATCTGGTTCGCCTGCATCTTCTTCCAAGTCCGGTGCAATTTCAGGGAATCGACTCGGAATCACACGCTTCGGCGACTTCTTTGGACTTAGCATTCCATTCATCCGTGCTCTCTTGGTAGTATCACGAAGAATCAAAACTCGACGCCCTACATCTTTTAGATGCTCACTTGCTGCGGGGTCCATCGGTCGATCAAGCGGAAGCGTTGGTAGCAATTGTTCTTGCATTGTATACACACGCTTAGCCTCTGCATTGACCTCCATCGTACGATCTAATGTAGACCCACGCTCGTCCTCCCATGGATAAGTCTTCTCATACGACAAAGTCACATCGCGCCTACGACCACGTCGAGAATCGGGCCCTCTCATTGTGAATTGAGACTGCTACAGACCGAAATAGGCGATTGGCAACATACACTAATGGCGTTAGAGTCGACTGTTCCATCGATGGTGTATTCGTTTATATACTTAGACGTTTGAGCAGCCTCTGGACCTCCAGAATGCTGATCAGCACGTTGGTTGTGGTTCGAGCTACCTGACTTGAAGCTGGTAATACTCGGAGGTTCCATCCCTCAACTAGTAGGCATTTAGTTGCTGCTAAAGAAACTGAACCAGCCCGATTTCGGGAACTTGACACCGTTCTCTGTGAGCTTGACGAAGGCCTTGGAGAAGTCCTTGAACCACAGTTCCTCGTCCTTAGCGTACAACTCGACGTACTTCTTGAACTCAGGGTCCTGGATTAGCACAATATCAGCAGGCAGCATCATGAGCTTACCCGTCGGGTCCTCGTACTGCATGGGGCCGTCCCACTTCTTGATCGTCCACTTGTTCTCAATCAGCTCACGGAAAAACTCGTTGGAGAACGTCCACTCGGCGTTAGTCCATGGGCCGCTGTAGCCACTGCGCGTGGGGTAGCAGCGGCCGATAGCGTGCGCGCCCACAAGAGCCACAATGTCGCGGTCGTTGAAGCCCATGCGGTAGAACACCTCGCGCACGTGTTGCGTGGTCTTGTCCTTGCTGCCCTTGTCGGCATCGGGCAGACGGTCATCTGGCGTCTGCGTCGGCTCTTTGCCGCTCTTGGCGTCAGGACGGCCGAGACGGAAGGGGATCTCGGGACCTCCCATCTCCTCAATCATCGTCACACCAGCCAGGATGTACAGGTCAGCGTATGTGATCTCCGGGTGGTTCTTCTTGACCTTCTCCAGAGCCTTAACGGCCAGATGCAGGCCAGCGTTGCCTCCGTGGTTAATCTCCGGGTCGAAGCGGATGGTGCCTCCCGTAGAGCCTCCGCTGTTGTCCTTAGCCGAGTACGAGCCGCTCGAGTGCCACGCCAGTCGCACCATAGTGGGGCCCATGTAGTTGTCTTCGTCGAAGATCTCGATGATCTCCTTCTTGATGGCATCCAGGTCCACGGGCTTCTCGCGTGCGTTCACCAGGTCAGTGAGGGCAAAGCCGCTCACGGCTGCGACGCCCGCGGCGGCGAGAACGATGGCGCTCGGCTGCTTCTTCTTGGCGGCTGTGTGCAGCTGCGAGGTGGCGAACGTGCGCGTCTTAGAGACGGCGGACACCTGGGCGGCGCGGAGAGCAGCACGACGGAGCATAGCGGAGTGGGGCTTGAGCTGTTGCTGGAAGGTTTGCGAATGGGGAGAATCTGGGAAGGCGGCGGGAGTGATGGTAGAAGGATCGTCGATGGTCGGACATCAATGCCAAGGGACGCAAAGACGAGTAAAAAGATTGGGGATTTTGAAATGACTTGGATAAAGTATGTGAGAGTGAGGATTCCGTCATCAATCATGGTGTCCCACCCTGGACCATCAGATTCCGTGGGTGCAGGCAAAACTGGAGGTTGGTTGGTTGGTTACGAACTTGGTAGGGCGCTTCGCGGCACCCAGCGGACTTCGTAGTGCAGATTTACAAGTTTGGCGGCTGGCTTTGGAGTGTACCTTCGGGATTTCAATCCTTACATGAAGCTTGGATCTTGAGTTGTTCGGATTCTTTTGAACGGAGCGGACATGGTCTACTGTCCAACCAAACTCTCTGCTGCCAGTGGCAACATGCCACGTTGGCATTTGCATTGCACAGTGCAGACTGCGTGTCCAGCATGACATTTGTTCCTGAAAAGCTTGGCATTTTTGTTTTGAGATCTTTTCGGACCACTTCAACCTATCCAACTTCAAGTACGTGGTGGGGATGCGCTCAACACCTTTGGTAGGACTGCAATGTAGACTACACTGCAGTCCTACCAAAATGCAGTCGCAGCTCTCACTTCCATTCGTTTTCTTTCCCCAAGAGACAACGATTTCGCTCTTCCTGTCATGCGGGTGATTCAGGCAGAACGAGACGATACCCCTAAAGGCAATGGTGGTTAGCCACACGTTGACACCGCATCAGCAGTGGGAGAGGATTGGTACGCGTTTGACCATTGCGAGAAGAGTGCAATGAAGACGCGTCAGTATCGCGTCGTCTGGAAACTTGCAAAGCCACCTCGGCAAATTGTGGCTCTTTCCTGTCACGTCGGGGTCGTGGATTCCTAGAGTCCCGAAACTCTAGTAGAGTCACTCTAGGCAAGTCGTGCGTGTCCTACCACGTTGAAGCCGGAACAATGGGAGTGCTGCCTACCTCTACGTTCAGCATCAAGCTGTGGGAAGAAGAGAAAAAGAGAAGCACGAAGAGAAAACGAAATGCGCGCAGGTACTTACAACATAAATCTCGTCATCCCCTCTTGGTACCTACGAGTTGGTGATTCAGGAATGATACCCACGCTCCAGCAAGAACCAGCGCCTTGCATTCCTAAACTGTCAAATGCTCTGGGACTGGCCAGGCAGTTCGACTATTAGCACAACCAGCGTAACGGTTTTCTACCATTTATCGTCACCAGCACAAGGTTTTCTACCACCATGCCATCCACCGAGACTGACAAGATGGTGTTCGTTCCTGCTGACGCTTTAAGAGCGGTCATGCATGGAGTTCGCGAGCAGATTGCGGAGAAACAACGTCTGCTAACCCGGATCGAAGAGAGTCGCAAGCGCGTACAAATGCTTCGTAGCAGGTCTGCAGCTTTGGAGTCACGTCTGTTGGACCATAGACAAAGTACTATCGGACACAGCAATGGCCCCGTCCCCCTCAAGATCGAACCGAATAGCGACAACAACTCGCCGGCAGTAGCGTCCCCCAGCGCGACGGAGATACCTGATCAGACTTCAGGCGGGATCGTGACGATGCAGAAGCGCGTTTCGCAGCTGGAGACACTCATGGTCCTCGCGAAGGAGGTTTCTGCCCAGAGTAGCTTCGAGAGCGTCGTTGAACGTACACTACGGGCTGCACTGCAACTGGTACGCGCCGACAAGTTCACACTGGGCATTTTGCATGAGCGTCGCAATGTCCTGGACGTATACTCAACTCTGTGCAGCGATAATGACGCTGACCTAGATTTGTCGCTCTCGAAAGTCGATGTTATAAGCGAAGGCTTCGTGGTGCCTGACTCCCCCACCGTTTTCGGCCGGGTGATCATGACTGGTAGACCTTTTACTATCAACGAGTCCGACACTGATGCACTCTTTCAAAACCAACGCAGCAATGATGCAGGATCTCTACAAGCGCTGCTATGTCTTCCCATTCGCAATGCTCATGGCGCTGTCGTCGGTGTGCTTCAAGTGGTCATTAATAAGTGTACAACCGATAAAACGCCGGTGTCTTTTACAGACACAGATGTCGCCAATCTGGAATTCATAGCAGTCGTGGCTGGGGCTACAATTTGGAACCTCGTGCTCTCACGGCAGCGCCAGACAGCTCAGCATCGTATCGAAGGATTGCTCAAATTACACCGTAATATTTCCATGGAGACTGTGTCTTCGTCGGTGGTACTAGATCAGGTGCTTAGTGTTTGCCACGAACTAATTGGCACCGAGCGCATCGGTTTGTTCATCAAGATCGAAGGCGAAGACGAGCTTTACATCGCATCGGCAGCAGATATCGTTCGAGGAGAATATGTACCAATCACTAAAGGTATCGCTGGGTATGTAGCTCGTACAGGTGAGACTGTCATCACGAATGACGCGTACTCGCATCCACTGTTCGACTCGACATTGGATCAAAAGACTGGATTCCTCACCAAGAGAATCTTGTGTTTACCGGTCAAGTCTCCAGAGGGGACTATATTAGCTGTGCTCTCAGCAGTCAACAAGGTTGACGGTATGGATTTCACCAGCGAAGACGCCATTTTCCTCAATTATGCAGCTGAAGCAGTAGGTACTTCATTACACAAAGCAAGTTTGCATCGTCAAGTCAGAACATCGCAAAAGTTGATAGAGGCACGGTTGAAGCTCACTACGTTCATATCCGAGAGCACTGACATCGCTGAGTTCGTGAATATGGTTATGGAGTTAGGCAAAGATATCATGGATTGCGATCGATTTGGGTTGTTACTAATTGATCATTTCAAACATGAGCTTTGGATAACACCACGTGTCGGTGGTGAGAGTATCCGCTCGCCAATTAATCGAGGGATCTCTGGACTGGTAGCTACTACCGGCCAAACTGTTTGCACTCGAGACGCCTACAAGCACGAGTTGTTTGATCCAAGTGTTGATATGAAGACAGGATACCGCACCACAAGTGTACTGTGTATGCCTGTGTTTGAAGACCACTCTGTGACTATTCCTCCTAAAGTGGTAGCGGTTGCAATGTGCATCAACAAGAAAGAAGGCGCTCATGTCGTTGCATTCACACAAACTGATCGTGAGATCATGAGCAAATATTGCGCAGAAGTACAGTTTGCACTCGGTCGGTTATCTCTCGACGTCTCGTACTATAAGGTCGTCGCAGACTGTGTCGCTGTATCTCGTACGAGTGTGGACTCGAATCCAAGGACTTTAAAGCGAATGTCAACTACAACTCGCATGGATAAATACTCCGAGACGGACATCATTTCCTCCATTGTACACAAATACTGTCACTCAGGCGATGACAATGCGAATGTGACCAAGAAAAAAAGTATCCCTTCCTTCGCTGCGCTACTACCGGCTATCAAGAAAAAGAGTCATGAAGACGACGAAGTCCCATTCCCACGTGAAATCGTCTTCACTCATGGTAAAAATGAACCGCTGGATCATTGGGATACCGAGACAGTATCACTTTCAAGCGGCGAAGTGTCGATGAGCTGCGGTATTATTTTTCGAGCTTACGGATTCATGGACGCCTTCCGCATTTCTAGTGAAAAATTCTCAGCATTCACGACAAATGTGGCTAATTACTATCGCAGTAATCCCTTTCACAATTTCCAGCATGCTTTCCAGGTCATGGTAGCGATGCACATAATGCTACGCACCGAATGCCGCCGGTATTTTAGTGGACTCGAGATTTTCTCCATGTTGATTGCATCGCTGTGTCACGATATTGACCATCCTGGAAACAACAACGACTTTGAGTTAAAGATGCTGAGCCCTATGGCGCTCACTCACAACGATGATGCAGTGCTAGAGCGCCATCACTGTCGTGTGACGTTCATCATTCTTAACCACAAGTCGGCTAAGATCCTGCAGCATCTCGACCGTGAACGGCACAAACGAGTGCGTCAACTCATCATTTCGTGTATTCTGGCAACAGATATGTCGAAACATTTCGAGAAATGCAAGATTCTTGAAGGTCTTACGCGTCGACAACTCAGCGAGAAGCGGCTTATCTTGATGGGCATTCTCATGCATGCTGCCGACCTATCACACTACGCGCTACCGTTTGCTCAGGCACAAGAGTGGGGTGCCCGCTTACTTGACGAGTTTCAGAATCAAGCAGCGACCGAAGCTGAGCATGGAGTTCAAACCGATTACTTTATGCAAAATCTGGACAACAAACGCGTTCGGGTTATTGTTCATCTTAACTTCATCAACTACGTCGTGCGACCAATATGGCTGCCTCTAACTTCACTTTGCCATCATCTTCGGGTGAGTTTTTGCTATTGTCTTTGGCTTTGCTCGTTATTAACCGTGTTATGGTTGTTGTAGTTCTACACGGACTCGCTTGAGAAAAACTACGAGCTGTACAGGCAACAATTGGACAAGGAAAAGAGTATCAACAGTGTACCAACGACACCCTCAACAACAGGTACACCGCAAACAGCCAGTAGACCAGCGCGGTCTTCCTTTTCTCGCAATATGTAAACTTCGTATTGAAGAATATCGATCCTTCGATTGATTTGTGCCTTTATGCTTGCCTATTGTGCAATCCTTCATGTTCATCAAGGCTACTCAGTACTGCAAGACGTAGCCTCAATTCACTCTAATCGAAGAACAACACAACCACCGTCGTGTCATCGTGGCGACGGCGACGGTGACTCCCAGGCGGCAGACTCAACAGCTCCTGGTACGTCATTCCGTATCGCTTCGCCGCCTTCTGAAGCACGCGCTCAACCAGAGCACGGCCTGCCAGGTCGTGGTTCCCGCACGAAGCCTGGCCATTCACGATTTCAACGGCTTCTTCGTTGCTGAGATAGTCCCACAGACCATCAGAGCCAATGATGAGGAACTTGTCTCCCTCTGCGAGCTTGTGCGACTTGACCTCCGGAATAGCCGTGATGTATGGCGGCGTGTATGGGGCCGAGAAATGGCGGCCGGCAGAGCGATCGCCGTTCTTGTAGGGCGGACCATTGAATTCCGGGTGCTTAAGTGCGAAATCACCGAATGCACGTGTAGGCTGCAGCGCTCCCTTCACGTAGCACGAGTCCGGATGGCGACAAGTGAACGCGTTGGCTTCACCTGGATGCTCCTTGATGAGCTTTTCCTGCTCAAATTTCACCATGGCGTTCTGGTCGTTGCTGAGTGGCTCAGCTGCGATAGTGTCGGGCTCTTCACCGTGCTTTCCCAGTACTGCACGAATATCACCAGCATTGGCGACGTACACGGTGCCTTCGTGCACGTACGCCAGACACGCGCATGATCCGCAACGGGCTACCGCTCCAAAACCCAGCTTGAAAGCCGACGCCACCTCCGCCATGAGGTCACGATCCGTGCGTCCGAATGCACGTTGAATGGCAGCAGCCACGCGGTCATCCGAGACGGTCTCCTCGTCACCTTGAGCCGGCTCGTTAGTACCCGGCTTGTACAAGTACGCCAGCTCCTTCTGCACGTTGCCGATCAGCGTCTTGCGAGCGTATTCAGACACTTGCCAGCCGCCTGCATATAATGGTCATTAAGGGAATAGCACAACGCAGTAGGTAAAGAGATCTACCCACCATGACCATCGAGCACGGTTGCGAACACGTCGCCCGAGTCCGTCGTAGCCACGGCGTATTTGTCCTCAATGGGGAAATTGGCTTTGTACGACGCGCTGCTGACGCGCGTGGCACGGGACTTGGAGATGGGTGCGAACTCCTCGCGCTCGAGCGGCACAGAGAAGGCCCCTTCTACCTCGGGTGGCGCGTAGCGAGCGTCACACTGCGCTTCCATGTGTGCAGAGCGCATGTCCGTCATCTCTCCGTGTGCGAGGGCCAGCATGGACAGACCTAGACCGCTCAGCAGCAGCGCATGACGCAGCGTCGAGCCATGGAACTGGAGCAAAAGTTGACAAACCAAAAGTGAGATTGGATCAACGATTGTGAAGCTTCTAGGATGTCAAAATTGACGAGGGAAGCAGCAACATGAAGAGAGAGAGAGAGGGAGTAAGTGGGCTGAAGAGTGCATGTACCTTGTGGCTCTGTCCACGCGCTAAGCGCGCCAGGTTCCGCGCTGCAAAAAGTCGCATGCTTGACGTCGGCAAGGACCAAAAAAGCAGGGGCCACGACAAGAATGCTCTACCATTGGACAAAAATGTATCGTTGTGACGTTGAAGTGAAACACGTTGAAGCGGACCAAAAATCTCGACGACTCGTTATCACATGAAAATAAAATGACGTTGGTTCGCTGGTCGTTAACGCTGGTGGTCCACGGATTGCTTAACTATCTCAGAAAGCATGCAAGCAACCGCAGGATTCCGGACTTTTAGCAGCCTGTCAACGCATTGCTGACACAACGTAAGCAACGTCGTCAAAATAGCTAACTCAGCGCTCCTGCAAATATCGGATACTATCGTATACTTCGCGAAAGTACCATGCATGGCTGTGAAAGCTGGGACATCGTTGTTGTGTGTGCAATAGCGGCCAAGTAATCTAAGCCTGCTCGGCAAGAAATAGACACAAGCGAAACGCTTGGCGTTCTGTAATAGCTTGCTTAACTGTACGCTGCCTCGGCGACCACAGAGAAGTTGCTCGCTTCAAAATACTTGGGTCTTGCATGGTTCAACTCGTCCACTCATCAAGCTGATTGCTAGATAGATGACGAAAACTGGAGCAATAGTCAACGTGGAGCACTGTCCTGTAGTTTGCGCCTGACTTACGTACAGATCTTGTAAACTCATATCCCACCAACGGAGCGAGCAATTCGAACTTGTTGTTCAGCAGCGAATAAACCACTTTGTGGACTGTCCTTGACGAGTTTATTTGCGGCGGAATATCGCATCAAACGGATCGCCACCACACAGAGCGCGTTTGTAAAGAGCTTTCTGCGGGGGAACACTATTAGACACTATTCGCCTGGGTTCACTTTGCGCGGATCGTGCGACGCAGTGTCGAATTGCATACCTCCCCATTCCGGCTCCAGGGATTTTTGCGCGAGGTTAGAAGCCCTCGACGATCTCCGACGAGCAAAAATGGAGGTTGCGAACGTTGGGAGGAGGGCGGAATCGAAAAATAACAACAGCTACGAGCCAGAAAAAAACGTCGCTCAAGGGCTACGGAGCTCCATTTGTTCTCCATTTTACGATTTTTTTCTTGCGTTTGCGCGAGCCACCGACTCCTTCTCGCCCTGCCGACGGAACATCGAATAGACGGTGAGTGGTGAGAAGACGTTTCGCTCCGTCGCCGCGTTGCCAGGGCACTAGCGGCACCATAAGTCATTTTTTCCCGAAGCAGATAAGTGCAGACCCAACTGCGGCAATACATACCATCCCCACAACATCGCGTACTCTTGCAGCATCGACAAGCTAAAACCTTCTCGTGATCTCTAACACCGAATCAAGATGGCAACCGACGACGTCTTCGTGTTGCATCTCGTGGATTCCGCCGACTGGGTCGCCGACCACGAGCGTAATTTGTGCTACGTCTGTACCAGACCGTTCGGCACCTTCCGTCGCAAGCACCACTGCCGAATGGTAAGTCTACGTACGTTCCGGAAGATTTCCTTTTCATGGATTCTTACGCTTCTCTGATGTATCGCAGTGCGGAGAGGTCGTTTGCAAGAACTGCACGCTATACAAGGACGCCAACGTGGATCCGACCATCGGCACCACCCGCGTTCGCGTATGTATGTCGTGTGTGATCAACAATTCAAACCGTCGCTCTGGAGGATCCCCCAATAATGCTACTTCACCGCACCTCAGTGTGACGTCGGAGGCGTCTCGCATGTGGTTACAAAGTCACTTGCATTCTCCTGCGTCCGGCCCATCGTCCAAACCAGACAGCGAAGAGCTTCTCCGTTCACTTACACCAAAGCCACGCCAACACTTGGAGTTAAAGGAAGATCACTTCAATGCAGCAGGCGAGGCTAGCAAGAGGAATCTTGAGGTTGAGCAGCACAATAGTGAACACTCGTCTGAGTGGACCCACCCGTGGCCTCGACCACCCGTGAGCACAGACGAAGGAGACCGACTCCGAGCCTTGTACGCGCTCAAAGTACTTGATTCGGAGTCAGAGAAACCGTTCGATATGATCTGCGATCTCGCAAAGGCGCGTTTGTCGTGCCCCATGGCTGCAGTAAGCTTCCTGGACGAGCATCGGCAATGGTTCAAAGCAAGCGTGGGGCTAGCTCACAGGATGATCCCGCGTAAGATCGCGTTCTGCGCCTATACAGTGTATATTCGCGAGCCGATGGTCGTTCTGGATACACTTCAGGATGATCGGTTCCGCAAAAACCCGCTCGTCGCAGGTGCCGCTGGCGTTCGCTTTTACGCGGCTGCACCGATCATGGACCCGAATTCCGGCCACGCTGTAGGCAGCGTCTTCGTTCTCGACACACGTCCACGAGAAGCGTGTGATATCTCCATTTTGGAGCGACTAGCAATGGCGGCGGGTGAAAACTTCCCAGAGGTTGCAACTCCGACTGTAGAGAGTATCAACCAGCTAAAGACCGAGGAAGACAATGGCGATGAGGTTGAGAAACCTCAGGACTGTGCCGAAGTAGACGAAGTCGCCGGTGTGGTTGATGAAGCGGCTCACAATGGGCTGCAAAGCTTTGGCAACAAGGAGATGGATACGCCGATATCTCCATCTACGTCAACTACAGCATCGTCGATGTCATCGTTCGGATCGAACTCAACGCAAGCGTCACTGTCTCCTTCCAAACTGGACAACAACGACGGGATCCAGGAAGAAGACACGTCCACGGCAATGACGCCACTGTCCATGGGGACAACGTCAGCAGGCGAGCAAATGGAGGTGCTTCTCATGCGTCTACTAACACAAAACACCGAAACGCAGCAGCAATTGGCGGTGCAGCAGATTTCTCTGTCTACGAAGCTGGGACAGCACACCGATCAAATTAACAAGCTCATGTCTGACTTCGCCCGAATGGAGGCAAGAGTCGAGGCCAAGGTTGGAGGCGGCACAACGAAGTGAGCAAGGACAAAACCCAAGTGTGCAAACCTGCAATGACGCAGCCTGGTTGCAGGTATCACCAGTTTATAGGAGCAACGCGTCTCGCATTTTTCAGCCACTGCGGCGGGGTCGAGAGACCCATTGCTGCCAGTGTTGTAACTATCTATTCAATGAACTTACAGTTGGTTTACACTTCCATAGTGTTTCTCTCGTAAATCGTAGGATCTCAAAACTCCGCGTAGCTCTTATCGTGTACGCAGCTCTTCAAACAGACAAACAAAAGAAAAAGGTAAGTGCACAGATATTGAGGCATATAAACTTGTCATCGTCGTCTGTTTACATTTTTATGGGGATCTTTAAACGTGGCTGAACTGAAGCTGGCGCCGGGTCGATCGTCGCTTACGTTCAAAACTGCACACATAACCTGCTGGCTACGAAGAGGGGTAGGAACGACCTTGCTGCTTTGCTGCGTGAGAGTGGGATATGCTACAGACGTGACCTGGCGGCCGCAGTTCAGGCGTAGACAGCCTTCTGCTTCTCCACCTCAGCGATGTAGGCCTTCATGGCGTCCTCCGTGGACACACCCTTCTTGGCGTTCCAGGCGTTCCACTTGGCCTTGCCCGTCAGATCGAACATGCCAGGGGCAGGCGTCGTGTTGTCACCCACGGTGGCCTGCTTGTAGTAAGCGTAGAGGGCGAGCTTCTCGTCGTTGGTCTGAGGTCGAACAAAGAAAATGAAATGATACACACGAGATCAGTTGAGCTGTTTTGCGGTGGAAAAGGGAGAGAAACGTACTGGGTTCTTGGTGAAGGTCTTCACGAGCGCGGCGGCGGCTTCGAAGTCGGCCTTGAGGTCAGACATTGTGATGAAGTAATGGGGAACGGAGGCTTGGAGTCACGTGCGAGGACGGGGAGGAAATGGCGAATGACAGAGGATTGCGGTTGTGAGTGGAGTTCCATCGGTATAGACAGGTAACAGTGCCCTTTACTAAAACCAAGTGATTTGGTGACGCACCCACTTTGCCCTGAGTTGTTGACGAGTGACGTGGCCGAGCAAGAATCGCTGCTGTCACTCCCATGCCGTTCCACTACAACTGGAAGCTCCGTTGCAGTTGGTAGCAACAACAGCATATGGATTGGCTCCATGCAATCGAGATGCGAGGTGCTAAGTACTTCAAGCGCGAAGCGATTCCTTTCAGCATGCCAGCGCTGGTGTTACCGTTTGAACATCGGGCCGGGGAGGGGAACTCATTCCTGCTCCCGGTTACCACTCGCAACGTTTTGGGCGCTTGCCGACAGCACGGCTTTCATCCGCATTGTCGCTGCTTGGTCACTGATACCCTCGTTGACAAGCATGGCGAAGTGCAACTTGCCTTTCTTATGTTGCTCTTTTAAAGTTGCAACAATCTTGTTTATTGTCGTTATTCTGTCTTGCAAGGTACGCTTGTCACTGTACGTCACTGTACTCTTTCCTTACTAAATCCAAGTCATTCCGGCTGTCAGTCTGCTGTCCAGTCAAGTTGAAACCAGCAGCAAAAATGCCGCACAGCTCGAAAAGCAGCACCGTACTCTTCGATTGGTGGTTTCCGATTCAATCGACATGGAGTTCCAGCTGAGTGGATACCCCTTCGTGCCTTGAGCCATTTCAGATCTAGCGAGTGAACAACACACAATGGCGGACGGCGAAATCGAATTCCACGACGTAGTCATTGTCGGCGCCGGCGTCGCCGGTCTGCGTTGCGCCAGCCAACTGGGGCGTGCCAAGGCCATCAAGGACGTGCTGGTCGTGGAGGCATCTGAGCGTGTGGGCGACCGTGTGATGAGCAACACGAGCTTTATCCCGGGGCTTAGCATCGAGATGGGTGCCGAGTTCATGCACGGTGCCAACACGACACTCACTCGCATGGCTGAGGAGTACAACATCGGTCTGCGCGAGATCTTTACTTGGGCTCAGGTGAGGGATACAGTGCCAATGCACATGAACCAAATGCGTGTTTTAGTTGGTAGTCGCATCGATTAATCAGCCACTGATTCGCTCGCAAGAGCAGTGAGATAATCTTCTGGCCTTCATACGAATGCAAGAGCGAACGTCAGATCATGTTTCCTTAATTAGCATCTCCAGGGCGAACTTTGCGCTCATCTGCGTGCATTCGATGGCACAGTTCTTGTGTCGTTGAGTCTTGCACGTGTCCACCCGGGAGAAGTCAGTCTGGATTCATACATTTCAAACACAATCCATGTATATAAAAAAATTAAGCAGTGATACTTACGATCCATGGATTCAATTGCATGTATAGGGCGATGGTGGTCCGACTGAGCCTGCTCCGGATGGAGGCGTTGGCTACTACTACATCGGCGACCAGAAGCGAATGCTAAGGTATGACGATGAGGACGAGGAGTTCGTCAAGTTTAACGAGTCGGTATTCGACCTGAGCGACCTTGAGAATATCGATCAGATCCCGCCTGAGAAGTCTATGCGGGATTATTTCAACGAGATTGGTCTGTCCCCGTCCATGATGAAGCTGTGTGAGGCAGGATACGCTAACACGGCCGGTGGTCCGCTGGAGGACATTTCGATGCGTACTACATGTCGCTACGAGAAGCAGTGGATTGAGCTGGAGGACGAAGGTGACTACCGTGTTGTGCCGAGCTTTATGCGATTCGTTAACCTCTTCGCCGAGGGCGTGACAACTCGTCTCAACTGGCCTGTGGCAAGCGTGGACTACTCCCACAGCGACCGCATCATTGTGACCAACACATCGGGCAAGCAGATCTCGTGCCGCACGCTGGTTGTTACTGTATCGACTGCCGTGTTCTCGAAGATCGCCTACACACCGGCACTTCCTCAGGAGAAGATCGACGCCGTGGCGTCGTTCAACATGCGCCGTGCAGGTAAGGTGCTGCTGCACATGTCGGGTCGCTTCTGGCCCGAGGACGCACACGGTGTCGTGTGCTCGGATTGCTTCTTGCCGGAGTTCTGGGTCAACAGTACGCAGGGCATTGGCCACCTTAAGTCCAATGGCGATAAGTTGTGTGCTGAGAAGGAAGCCAGCACGTCTGAGGACAGTGAGACGCAATACCTGATTACGGGTTATGCCGGTGCGCTATACGCGGAGAAGTTTGTCGGCAAGGACCACGAGGAGATCATTGAGGGCTTCCTCGACCAGCTCGATATGATCTATGGAACCGTGGACGAGCCGTCTCCTGCGCGGAAGTTCTTCGTTAAGGGCACGTACAAGGATTGGGGTGACGAACCGTGGATCCGCGGAGGCTACGCTTATCCTCGCGTGGGTCAGTCCGACACGGCATCGTACGATCTTGCAGCGCCCGTGGACGGCCGCATCTTCTTCGCCGGTGAGGCGACAGCTTTCGAGCAGCCTGGGATGTCGGTGCATTCAGCCGTCGACACTGGAACACGCGCATCTGAGCAGGTGGTGCGTGCGCTGCAGGAGCTGTAGGTTGCCGTGCAGTTGAAGCAAGACAGATATCGTGCTCTGATTGGTTGGAATAGAAATAATCTTACCTATTGTAATGGAAAAACTGAAGGCCTTGCTGTGTAAATCCATGCTAAGGTGAAAAGCCTTCGATTCAAAATGGAACCAATTTATTGAACCTGTTTATTAGTTTTTGGTATGGTGGCCCGTGTATCGTACGCTCAAACTTGGTTTCGGTCATAATGCTGCTTGTGGTTGCAGCTTGTCTTGAACTCAAGGCGCGTGGAGAACGATCAGCTTGTCGTTGCGCCGCAAAATATTTATATAGGTAGTGTAGGCGGGCAGGAAGCGCAGAAGCATGTTGAAGGCTGCTGTGTTGGTGCCTCGCCTGCTTCAAAGCCGCTAGTGCGGTAGCGGGGTGGTCTCCAGAGCTGTCTGCTCAATAGTAGTTCACCTGCTCCTCGCGCTCCAGCCGGCTCAAAACGTGCTTCCCGAACGTGAAGCGCTTCAAATAGTCCTCGTTGTGTCGAATAATACATACAATGCGATGGCGGTCGTGGTCATCCGCACGCTCCAGCAATTTCTGCACCACGTAGTTGCCATACATGTGTTTCATCATGGGAAGAAGTGCACAGGACGCGCCACTTTCGTCACACTGAAGGATGAAGTCGACAATCTGGCTGATCTCCTCCTTCGTCGCATGTTCCAAGCAGGATTCCACGACGTTGCTCGCGTACTTGTGCTGGCTCCAGCGAGCGATCTCAGGAAGTACTGCTTGCATGACAATGTTGCGCTGGTCCGGCTCGCCGTGGCTGATAACGTGCTGCACGACGTAGTTCCCAAACTGGTCTTTCACAAGCTCGCGACACTTGTAAATGATCTCATTCAGCAGCGGGCGAATTTGGTTCGGCGCACAATGCTCCAACACGCGCTGAATCACACGGCATCCGTACGAATGCGTGGAGAGAGACGCGGCCTGGCCGACGAAGCTGTCGATAATGAACTGGATATCCTCCCCCGTCACGAAACGCTGGGGTCCCAACCCGTTGCATTCGACCGCTCTCTTCCAGGATGCCGCCTCAATGCACTTCTGCAGCACGTGATTGCCGTTCTGGTCAGTGACACACTTCATCACGTGGCCCTTTAGCTGCCGGATCAGCGCGAGTTGCTCTTCGACTTGAGTCACTTCCAGAGCACGCTGAATCACGCGGCACCCGTACACTTGCAGTGCCAGACTGATCATGTTGCTCGTCATCAGCTCCACCAGCATCTGCTGCTGTTCCAGTGATCCATACTCGAGAAATTTCTGGATCACATAGTTGCCAAACACGTCCGTCATCAACAAAAGCGAGTTTGGGAAGATCTCGTTGAACGCGTCGGCCTTAGTGCGTTCGTCTGCCTTCTCCAGCTTCTGCTGGATAAATCGCGATCCTGTCTGATCTTTCGCGAAGATGAAGAGGTGCCCTTTGATGGTGGACAATCCCCATTTCTCCGACTTGGGCGCCGAGTTAAATTCCTCCAGAAGACTGTTGGATGAGTACGAATGAGCGATCGGGTGAAAGTACTCGAATTCGCTTCGTCGAGATCCTCCGACCTTAGGCCTGTGCAGCATCTGCGGACGAGGCGCGTAGCCTCCGAAGTCATGACGCTCGTACTGTAGGTGGTCAACCACGGGGTACGACGGCCGAGCTTTGAACATCTTGTCAACGGGTTTCATACCGCGGTATTCGCCAGCATAGCCAAGAGGGAAACCTGACATGGCTGGGTTGTGACTAGGATGCAAAGTTGCGAAGTCCGCTGGCGCAAACCCGAAAGGCGAGGCTGTGAACGAGTAGGCGTCTTCGTTTGCGGCCCACCGCGACTTGCCGGCACCCATCATTACAGGGAAGCCCTGAACACCTTGGGCAGTCATGGCGTACGGTGACATATAGCCTTGTGCCATAGCTCCATGGTAAGTGCCACCAAAAGGAGGCTCGCTGGTGCTCCTGCCGAATGTGTGTCGGTGGCCATTCATTCCAGAAAGTCTGGCACCATTAGTGTGCTGCGGCATCCGAGGTAAACCTTCGAAGTCGTGGCCAGAACGACAGGCAGGTTCGTAGGGCGTAGCTGAGTGATAATTGCCGAGTCTGAGCTGCCCCATTCCTTCGTCGATGCCGAACACCGAGTGCATCTGCTGATCTCTTCCACCAAATGAAGGCCTGCGAGCAGGCAAACGATCGCCCTCAAACGGTCCGTACTCTGGTGAAGGCGTACGGGGGAAGTCCTCTTGAATTCGGTCGATCAAGGACATTCCAGGAGGAACTCGACATCCGACAGTCTTGCTGTCGCCACGAGACGATCCGTTCGGGATGGGCCTGGAGGTGGGTGCACTCGAGCGTGGAAAACTTTGCTTGACAGGCGACGTGGTGGGGCTCACCGACGACGTGAAGTCACCATCTTCGAAGTCGTTGTGAGGGTTCGTCCAGATATCCACCCCGCGGGGCTCAGCGCTTCGAGACAGAGGAGCATGTTCGTGATCCTGGAGCTGCTAGAGTGAAGGGACACAATAGTTAGAAGCAGTTTTAACCAAACGAAACCGAGTTCAACTAAAACGTACGAGATTGAGTGGCAGCGCATGCGACTCAGGCTCTTGGTTGTCCGTCGATTGATTCTCCTGCACAAGCAAACAAGTCAACCCATTGTGTCAGAGTCATTGGCTCGCTGGAATCCCATAGGAAAGAAACAGGTACCTTGCTCGACTGTTTCTGTGTTGTCGTTCCCCATGATGCCGGCAGCTTTCCGGCGTTCTCAGATGGGGCATCGTGTTGGCCTTCGTCTTCCGTCTGGTTGTCCACCGCCGCCTCGCCTTCATCCGACTCGCTGGGCGGCGTGGTCTGAGCGCTGGGCACGGAGCGCGAGTCCGTCTTGGATTGCAGACGCGGGGCACGCAGCGCAAAGCTGGCCGGTCGCTCGCTCAGCGCCTGAGAGGCGGAGAAGAGTAGTGAGGAGCGCGATTTGAGCCCTTCCGAGGACCAGAGCGAGTCCGACGGGTATCCGACCGGGTCCTGCAGCTTCACGCGCACTGGTTCGACAGGGTTGTCGTGGTGAACGGGCTTCTCCAACGCCGCGAGGTCCGATCCATCGAGGTTGGCGTCGCGCTGCGGCGGCGTAATGGGGGAGGGGACCCCGCCGCTGCCGCTCTTAGCAGGGCTCATTGAGTTGCTGTGGCCCATGGCGTGCGAGCAGTTGCTGGGTGTCGGAGTGCCGCTGAAACGGCCGGCAGTCGTCCACTTGCGCGGAAAGCGGCAAATTGGAGAATGACGCCGCTGTGGACGCGGGCGGGTGGGCTGGAGGAGGGGGTTATTTTCGCGAAACGGGCTCTGTGACAGGTTGCCCCACGTTCACTTAAAGCGAAAGGACCCACCCACGCCAAAAAGACGGAAACCTCAACGACAAGGAGGGTGGGTTTAGCGATTTGTTTCTTTTTGTTGCAATTAAACGCTGAAAACCATCTCGTGCGCGAATTTTCAACGGCCGCTCCTGCGTCGGCGCGTCTGAGATGGCGAGTGTGTAACATGACTGCGCGAAACTGCGTGGTGACCCCGTCGAGCGAGCACGGAGCTCCGTAGGCTGTAGATGGCGTCGCCATCCTTGGCTGGACAGAGCCTGCGGCAAACCGTGGGCGGTGGTCTGCTCGCATCGGAAATTTCAGATCGTGCACGTCGTCATGCATGCGGTTCACCACAGAGGCAGTTAAAGCTAGTGATTGCCTTTCATGGAAAAATCCGGAGCACGCATGTGTCGAGGCGTGATGTGACTTGACTGGAGCGGTCGTTACTTGCTGCTAGCTGTGTGCTGCGGGGCTTCCTCCGTCGGTAGCGACGTCGGAAGAAAGGGTGGAAGCCGTGCGTTATGCTAACGGCAAAGTTGAAGCGACGCGGGACGGATCGTCGACACGCGTTCCCAGAAGGGACAGTGACCATCACTCCGACAAGAGGCAAGTTGCCGTGCTGCGGGCCAGCTGGTGTCGGTCATTCGGCAACAACACATCTTGGTGACAGGCAAACGATAGGATCACAACGCGGCGGCTATGACTGCTCGGCCGGCGGAATGCCGCTGCCAGGCCCGCGGAAGTCGTCGAAACCAGGCTGGCTAGTCGGTGAAGGTGGCTTCATCGATGCATGCGAGATCGGATCGAACATGGGCAACCAACTACGTCAGGGGTCCGTATTGGCGCGGTATACGCACCTCCCCTTTCGCTTTAGACAGTGCTCGCTGCCGTGTTGCTTTAGGTAGCAAAAGGAAACATTGGTGCAAGTAGATACCCTCTCTTTCAAACAATTCTGTCGTGTATTTATTTGCATCGCTGGTGTTAAAGCGAGTGGACGCGAGTTATACGGCGGCGCGGAACGTCTAGCAAGGTCCTCGCACGCTCACGTCCACACGATGCGCCAGCCCTGTCGCAGTCGCAGCTGCTGACTACTCTGATCCAAGGCGCGCACTGCTGCGTAGCCCAGTGGAGACGATAGTCGACTCAGCCTAGTCGCAGATGCCAGACAGAGAGCCAGCACCTAAGGTTGAAGTGGCAGCAGCGGACACGTGCGCATCGGTCGCTTGCTTATGAGCTCTTGGGCTTCAGCGCCAGCAGTGCCACGGCTGCCACGCCCGCCGTCACCACCGAGGCCGTGGCCAACGCTCGCGTGGTCAAGTACCAAGGCTCGGCTGCGTCCGAAGTTGCTACTGTAGTCTCCTGCTGCTTCTTTGACTTGCGCGTGAAGATCGACGTTTCCTCGCTGCTTCCGCTCTTGCTAGTCGTATTGGCAGTCGTCTTGGTTGTCACGGATTTGATGGTCGAAGATGATGTCTCAAGATTGTCAAAGATGCCGCCCCAGGCCTTCTTCTCGTCGCGCTTCTGCTTGTCCACCAGCTTGCTCACCTTGTCCAGCAGCGTGCGGCACGACTTGTCTCGAGGGTTTAGCTTCACCGCCAACAGCAGATCCTGCTTGGCGTCCACGTACTTTTCCAGCTTCACACACGCCTGCGCGCGACGGAAGCGCGCCTTGGACGGCCACTCCTCGAACATGAGCTGCTCAGACATGCCCAGGCGCCCCATCCACGTGACGACGTTGCCCTCGCGGTTCTCGGCTAGCACCGTGAGAATACTCAAGGCGTTCGTGCACGCGATCTCGGCGTCTGTGTACATGTTCAGCTTCAACTTGCAGGCTCCAATGTTGAGGTGGCAACGGATCATTGTCTGAATGATGGTTGCCTTCTCCTTATGGGTTGCATTGTCCTGATCCACGCGCTGAAGGAACCCAAGCGAGCGCAGGTAGCTGTACACAGCGTCCTGCAGCTTACCCTCGCGGAATTCCTCGTTACCAGCGTCCGCGAGCTTGATGGCTTCGTTCACCAGGTCCTTCGTCGTCATGTCCGAGATATCCTTCACCGGCAGTTTGACGTCCTTACGCTGCATGAACATGTGAGCATAGTCGGTCTTGACGACCAGAACGTCGTCGTGTGGGCGGATCTCCTCCAGTACACCCAAGCCGTACGGGGTCGAAACCTTCATGTGCATACGGAGATGAGGCTCATCGGGCTCTTCCTTCACGACATTTTGGCGTAAGTAAGCAATGGTGTGGTTCTTCGACGCAGCATCCGTGTCCAATTGCACCACATACATCTTGGTCTCTGGTCGGAATGATACCACAACGCCTCGTCCAAACGGAGTCACAATGCGCGTCTTGTCCGCAAGAGGCGCTACACTTACGGCACCCGGGTGATGTGCATCGATAAGGAACTTGTTGCCAGGCAGGTAAAGCGCAGATCGTGCCGTCTCCTTGCCGAACGCAGCAGGGTGTCGTACTGGCGCATTCACAAGACGCGATGTGGACTTGTATCGTTCGATATCATCATCGTTCTCACGCTTCTTCTCTCGGAGTAGAGCCACCTGACGTTCATGACGTTCCCGCACAGAGTACTCGAACCTGATGCGCAGAAGTAGCTTTCCAGTAATGCCACTGCTTGCTACAGTGGTCGGTGCCTTCAAATCGAACCAATTTTCGTGCGGCATCTGGTCTTGGTAGTCAGTGCTGCGCAACTCCAGCTCTCCGAGAACGACATCCGCAATGACCTCAGCATTGCAGCTAAGCGAGACCTTCACGCTGAACTTCTTGGTCTTAGCACCTTCATACACCAGCGTCTCCTTCCAGCCTGCAGTTGCATTGTCCACAGCTTGCACGCCGGCAGTACGCAAGTGCTTCTTCGTGGTCTTCTCGAACGCTGAGAGCGGAGTCACCTGCGTAGACACGTACAATTCTGGCTGCGTATTGGTACTGACCGCCTGCACTGCCGCGTTCTTGTCAAGTGCCAGACCCTTGGCTGCCAAAACTTCGATGGTCACTCGTCCTGCCGCTTTACCAGTGCTGGTGTCCACATCCACACCGTTTTTGTTCTGTTTGCCTGCAGCGGATGCTGCTGCCACCTCTTCGGCGTGCTGTAACTCGTGCTCCAGCTGCACTGAAAGAAGCTCTAGCGGCGACAGCGCTACTTTCTCCCACATGAGCGAATTGCCAAGCCCCACAGACGACGCTGGCGAATCACTGAGCGATTGCACGTCGCTCATGCTTTCTTCGTAATCGACTGGTGATGTGTGATGGAGATCAACCTGTCACTAAAGCGCGGTTTCGGCCCGGTCAGCACTGATTCTAACCGGTCCATCTGATTCTAGCAACATTCAGATGACATACACCTGATAACAGCCTGATCCAAAATTAGACTTGACCGTAATCGTGACATCACATACCGGTACGCAGTTTTTCGCACAGAGCAATTCTACTCCCAATATGCGGATCCAGGCCGAGGCTGTGGCGGAGCCTCGCGCCGACGCAGAGGATTCAGACCAGCGTTTGCGCGTCATTCGCATAGACCGCAAGACGCTCTTGGCGCGTGCGAACGCGGCGCAGCGTCGACGTCGACGAGAGGAGCGCGAGGCGCGTAGACTTGGTAATCGCCGACGGTCTTCGTGGCTGTTTGGCGGCGCCAAGAGGCCGCGCGAGGATGCAGTGGGGCCACCGTCACCCTTCACCGGCAATGTGGTGGTGAGTGCCAAGTACAGCGCTTGGAACTTCGCTCCGCGCGTGCTGCTGGCGCAACTTAAGCGACCATCGAACGTCTATTTCCTGTTCATTGCTGTGCTCCAGACTATCCGAGAAGTGAGCAACACAAGCGGTATCCCGACTATTTTGCTGCCGTTGGCGGTGGTGTTTATATGTAGCGCAATCAAAGAGGCACTGGAGGACCGGGAGCGACATCGAGCTGATCGTGTGACTAATAGTCGACCGGTGTTGACGCTGACTCCCTTGGGCAGTTGGGAGCAGCGACAATGGGGAGACTTACGTGTGGGGGACATTGTCAAGGTGATGAATGATCAAACCGTCCCAGCGGACCTGTTCCTGTTGTCGGCGGAAGCAGTGGAACATGATGATGATGGTCCAAGACCACAACAACTGCAAGTTACAAACTCGCAAGGCTCTACTGACTTGGAAAAAGGGAAAGACTCTGCAATAGACAGATCAGAGCTTCTTCTAGACATTCAAGGCGATCAAGGACCAGTATCACCGAAGCAACAATCAGCAGAGTCCAACCTGGCATACATCGAAACGAAGTCTCTGGATGGCGAAACCAATCTCAAGATCCGCACGGCCATTCCGTTGGTGGCTTCGCTCTGTCGCGGCTCGAGCACCAAAAGCCGCACGATTGAAGGTGGCGGGTACAACGAACTGCGCGGTATGATGGTGTGCGAGCAGCCCAACAATCGTATTACCAGTTTCGATGGAACCTTTTCGGCGATTCTAAGCCCAGCTCAAGCGGAAATGCTGGGCGTCGCTGCAAATGACCCGAACAGTGCGCAATTGGCGGCCCCGGTGCAAACTGCCAGTCTTTTGCAGACCGAAATGACTGGCGATGGCCTCGTGCGTGTGCGTGTACCAGTTACAGCAAAGCAGATGATGTTACGGAGCTGTGTACTCCGCAATACTCGCTCCGTCACAGGTATGGTGGTTTTTACGGGTCACGAGACCAAGGTATTTTGCAGTAACACAGAGCCAGTTGTGAAGACCTCGTCCGTGGAGCGGCGACTCAATCGACTCATTATCGGGATCGTATTTATCCAGCAGCTCGTCTGCTTTCTCGGCGCGCTGCTTGGTGCCCACTGGATGCACACGGAGGGCGATTCGTTCTGGTATCTTCTCAGTGCTAGCGAACGACGACATCACAATCTGACTGGCGCTTCTACTTCTCATCCACTGGCAGAGCTCGCCAAGTTGCATCTGCGCTACTTCATTATCATGCAAAACTTTGTTCCTATTTCGCTGAATGTGTCACTGGAGTTCGTCAAGTATTGGCAAGCCTATTTTATCGAGCAAGACCTGGAAATGTACGACAAACCGTCCGATACGCCGGCCATGGTGCGATCATCAGCTCTGAATGAAGATCTCGGTCGCGTACATCATATCTTCACTGATAAGACGGGTACTCTGACGATGAACCTTATGCTTTTCCGTTACTGCATGGTGGGGGGTAAGCACTACGGCGGTCTCATGCAGGATAAAGATATGGAGGCTGAGATGTCAAACGAAACGTTGTCTACAGCTGGTGATTCACAGGATGGCCCAAGATTTGTTGACTTCGACCCGACAGAGCTCTTCGCCGACATTCACGCTGGTGGAGAGCAAGCGGAAACTCTTCGTCGATTCTTACGACACTTGGCATTATGTCATACGCTGATCCCCACTAAATCCCTCACTGAGATGTGCAGTACGTCGTTCCCGGAGTATTCTGCGTCATCACCCGACGAGCAGGCCTTGGTGTCTGCGGCGGCGTTTTGCAACGTCCGCTTTGTACACCGGACGCCCACTGCCGTGATGCTCTTGGAGCCAGGATGGACGTCACCTAGCTCGTACAAATTACTGAATGTGCTGGAATTTGACAGCGACCGAAAACGCATGACAGTGATCGTAGAGACTCCAGATGGGGCGATCGAACTCCTTTGCAAAGGCGCTGACAATGTTATTTTTGAGCGACTTGGTGCAGATCAAGCAGCAATGCCAGGTCGGATGTCGTCCGAACAAGCTTCGGAGCAGCTTACGCTTTATGCAAAAGCTGGTATGCGTACGCTTTGCCTCGCATACAAAACGATCAGCCGGCAGGAGTATGAAAATTGGAACGCCCGCTATACACAGGCACATGCTTCGATGGAGGAATTAGTTAAGCGACGTCAAGGTCGTGCGAATGCGATCGACCCGTTGATGAACGAAATCGAGCGCGACTTGGTTCTTCTTGGAGTCACAGCAGTTCAGGACAAACTGCAGGCTGGTGTGCCGGCGACACTACGCCTACTGCAAGAGACGAACATTAAGGTGTGGACCCTCACAGGCGATAAAATGGAGACGGCAGTGAATATTGGATACGCTAGCGCGCTGCTTTCTCACGACATGGATGTGCAGCAAATTGGTGGCGATGGCTACACCTCGACTGCTGCAGCACTGAAGGAATTATCTCAGCGCGGTGATCAAGAAGCCACTTCTTACCATCCATCGCCATTTCTGGCCTCACTGTCTTCTAGAACCAACGGAGGTAGAGGGATGCGGCGTTCGAGACGTCGAGCCTCAATCCAAACCGACAATTTCTTGGGAAGTGCGAAGGCTGCAATCAGTGAGTTTCTCTTTGGGCCACCAACAAAGCAAAAGCGAAAGCAGAAGCGACGACGTCCCCGAAATCGCCGGACGTCAAGGACTTCATCAGCGTTTAGCCAAACGCCAATGTATTCTTCAGTAGCGACGGATGCAGAATACGTCGACAGGTTCACGTCGGACGAAGAATCGCTGTACGACGTCGGAATCGAGGCTGATGATGAAGCTGTTCACACGCCTGAATATGGTTCTCTCGCTGGAAACTTAGACAGCCGCGAAGGCCGACAGAGTGGTTCAAATTCGCAGAAACTAGCGCTCGTGATTGACGGACAGGCTCTCGAGTACGCTCTTCGCCCTCAACTGCGTAGCTTGTTCTACCAAGTCACTCAGCAGTGCGCGTCAGCAGTCATTTGCTGTCGCGTGTCTCCCAAACAGAAAGCAGATATTGTTGAATTTGTTCGCGAATTTGAGCCCGACAGTGTTACACTTGCAATCGGCGATGGAGCGAATGATGTTGCGATGATCCAGTCAGCTCATATTGGTGTGGGTATATCCGGTCAGGAAGGAGCGCAGGCTGTGAATGCCTCGGACTATGCATTGGCTCAATTCCGCTTCCTTCAACGATTGCTGTTTGTTCATGGTCATTGGGCTTACCGTCGCGTGGCTAAACTCATGAGCTACATGCTCTACAAGAACGTGACATATGTGCTTACAACATTCTGGTTCGGATGCTTCTGTGGGTTTTCGGGTCAACCGCTTATCTTGGACGTAGCTGCTCAAAGTTTCAATGTGTTGTACACAAGTGTACCGCTGGTACTCTTTGCCGTGTTCGATCAGGATGTATCATCAACTAGTGCCGCCAAGTTCCCGTATCTGTACGCACTTGGGCAGAAGAATATCCTGCTCGCACGTCGCGTGTTTTGGCCGTGGATTTTTAACGGCGTGTGGCATTCGATCGTCATCTTCTTCGTTTCAGCCTGGGCATTTGAAGGCTTCGGTCTTAGTATCCGTGATTTCCCAGTTATCGCCACCGAGACTGGAAAAAGTGGCGGACTGGTGACGCTGGGGTTCGTGGTATTCACGAATCTTGTGATCGTGGTGAACCTGAAGTTGTGTCTCGAGACGTTCATGCTTACGTGGCAGTTCCTGCTCACGGTGACTGTATCTATACTGTTGTGGTTCGCTGCAGGATCCCTCATCTCGTTGCCTAACACGGGATTCCCGCAAGCCACTGGTGAGATGGAGTATCTTCAAGAGCTGCCGACTTTCTGGCTGGTCTGCCTCCTTGTGCTGTCGTTGAGTCTGTTGCGTGACGGCCTGTGGAAAATCGTACGACGGTTCTCGCTACCTTCGATGTATCACATTCTCCAGGAACGGGAGGTTATGGGCTTGCCGAACTCGCCTCGAGGTATGCTACGTGAACATCGGCGATCCGTGTCAAACACAGCGTGGTCCGATGAACCCGCTACAGTCGTTGACTACGCGAAGCTTTTCACCAGACTGGAAAGTCCGGAAGAAACTCTGATGCGTTCTTCTCCGCTTGGCGAGAGATTGATCGCGTCCCCGTTCTCCAGTTCATCCAGTGGCGGAGATACCATCGATCCAGATCATATGGCAGGCTTTCAAGGTCGAGAGAAGAAGCGGAATATTCGCATTCGCGGATCATTTCACTCCATCGACAGCTTCGACAGCTTTGATGCAGGTGTGGAGCCATCTTTCCTGGAAGCTCCTGGGTCCGTTGCCGCTACAAGTACGGTAAATGCAGCCATTGGATCGCGCACGTCATCTTTTGTTGGCTCGTACCATGGCTACGCGTTTTCAGAAGACGAGAATGTGGACAGCGACGTGGAAGCAGCGTCATCCAGAACAAGTCGAGGCGACGTCGACCAAACGAAGATTGCGTTAAGCCATGCTTCCATCAAGAAGGTTCTCAAGTCGGTTCGTGGTAGAAAGAATGCATAAAGTGTTTTGAATGTACACATCATGATGAAGGCAACGTTGTCTGTACAATGCTGTCAGCCTTGTCGACTTGGAGCGAGGGAGCCGTATGTCGCGAGTACTCGAGAGAGTTATGAATGGCATGAAGATACCTTCGTTCACTGTATGGGCGTGGAATGATGACGGACTCGCCGTGTTTCTCAACAATACAGCAATAGGGTCGTGCAATGCGTATAGGTTGGAAGTGGTCGCTGACAGCTTGCTTGTACGGGCGAGCATATAACACTCGCTCAGGCGGAGACGGTGGAGCTGCATTCTGCACGACCTCAGGATCAGTAGTTAAAGCTGTTTGTGGTTGCTGTGATTCCGTTGTTGCACGTAGCAAGAGAATAGAATTGAGCATGTGCTCCTACAAGGACATGGAGAATGAGATCGAAGAAGAGTGCCACAAAAAGCTAAATTCCCTACCTGCTCCCAGCGGCTCATATTCGATCTTTACTGCTGGGGGAAACCCTTGAGCAGAGCTGACAATGCCGTTATACCATTCTCCTTCATCAGGCCAGTACACTATCGCTCTTCTGTCGATTATGGCTCGTGCGTCGTGTGCATTCAGCGGCAGCAATTGTTGCATTTGAGTGTACTGAGCTGTACCAGTGATCGATTCAGGAAGCGGGCGTATGCTTGCTGAACCCTGCAGCTACAAGACATCAGAACTCCAACTATTAACAGGCCAAGACTGTGCGACTGCAACGCACCTCCCACTGCTGCTCGCCATCGTCGTAATGCACGAAATAGCGCGGTTCATTGACTTCCTTGACACTCTGGATCACGCCGTTAAACCACTCGTTTTCCTCTTTCCAGAATACCTGCACGCGCATCCCAACAGGTAGCAGACAACAGTCTGGTGAGCTCGAGGCCACTGCAACAACGGATTGGTCCGGTACGATGACATCGTTGTCCGATTCGAACGAGTCCGAGTAGTCGTCAAAGTCGTCGTCGTAGTAGTCCTGCTCCTCGGAGACAGCATTAGCAGAGCTGGAAACAACAGAGGTGGAGGCCTCAAAGTCGGTGCTGCACTCGCTGCTGGCCATCTCGTTGGACTGGCAGAATGCGGCGACTTCCACGCGGGAGCGCTACTTGTTCATCGCCGTTACGGAAAGTGCCTGATAGTAGTAACTCCCCCGACGGCATGGTAGTACGACTGAAAGGAGCCATCTGGTCGCAGCGGCCGTGACGCGTCGCGCGCAGCACATGCCGTTCAACGCGCCATTGGCGACTTCAACGTGTTGCATACAAGTTGCCTTTGTGTCGTCTCGGCGCTCGTCGGATTTCCAATTTGGATGTGCACGCGCGGGTGGGACCGGGCGACGGGGGGCAGCCAGTGCACATGATTCGCCTCTCGTTGCCTCGTTGCCCGGCGTAGGTTTACTTTGTGTGCGGTGCCAGCAGCGGAGAACATCACCAGCCCACGGTACTGCACCATTTCGACAGCTAGTTTGGACTCGGTTCTTTGATTTTCGTCCAACTTCAAAAGTTCACTGGCAGTCACAAGCTTCTGCGATGGTGGTGGACCTGGAGGAGGTCTTATCCACCATAGCCGGACATGGCCTCCTTGAAGAGTCTTCAGTGAAGACGATATCAAGCACACACAAAACTGTACAGTGCTGTACTGCACTGAATTGCAGCCGCGGATGCGATACGAGTTCTCCAAGCCTGCCGCCGTCGTCGGCATTTCGAGCGGGTCGGAAAAGAGCAGATCGTCGCGTTGCAGGTGCTGAATCTTGCAGATACCTAAACAAATTTGAGACGAATCTTGGTCCGCGTTTTCATCGGCGCTGCTACATGTAGCTTTTTACCTGGCACGAAAGAAATAGTGCGGATGGCAATGAGTAGGTTTTGGCAGAAGTCTCCCGTGATCAGCATCAACGCACGAAGCAACCCGCCCACTGCAATTTTTGGAATACATCAGCGAACATTCTCGGCGATTATGAAATTGTACGGTTCACTAACCGGACCGGTTAGGGTTCTGAATTAAGGAGGCGGTAATTGGTCCAAAATTGGAACACTTTAGGCTCATCTATTGGTCATAACACTGGTCAAGTTCTCTAATTGGCTGAAAAATACCCCGACCCACCGCGGTATTCTCCCTCGCACAGAGCCGGGCCATATGGCAAACCAAAAACTCCGATTTTCGGTCGGTTGCCTTCATTAGAGAATTTGCGCTGTAGAGGAGAAGAGTCAAACCAGAAAAGAGAAACAGGTACGGATTAGAACCACGTTGCTATTGCATTTGCACACGCCGCCTCGCAGTGCAGGACGACGGTCTATCGGTGCTGACTAACGACAACTAACGTGTGTTTGTTTCGTATGCTGCCTTTGCTTGTGCGTCTGCAGTAGTGCATTTTGTCGCATTAATCCTTTTTGCCAAGAAGAGTGAGATAGATCCTCACACACAAAACAAGTTGCAGAGCGAACCACACACGCCTAAAAACCCGTTTGTGCACGAGCTCCTTTTGTGCCATTTGTCCCTTCCTACACCACACGCAGGACAGCGAAAAGAAGCTGTCTGTACCCTTTCTGTGTGTGCCACTTGCTGCTCTGTTGCGCTTGCGCTCTCGCAGTTAGCTGGACTGAGGAACTGAGACGTCATCTGGCCCTGGGCTTCGATCGATCACCACACGCACACACAGCGCTGTCCGTAGATAATTCTGCCGCGACCTACTGAAAGACGGCACCGTGGCGGCGACAGCAGAAACCGAGTCCGAACACGAGACGGGAGTGGGCTAATTGTTGCACACACACAGGCACTGCAAAATTTAGCCAAAATCGTACGAAAGAACGGAGGGAGCCAGCGGAACCAACCAAATGACAGCGGAGGGCATGCGTGCCAAACGACGAACCACCTACCAAAACATGCACGAGATCGTCAAGTTGGCCAAGAAATACTCGCCCAAGCTGGTGAAAGGCTACAGCGCAGGAAACATTTCCGTCGTGGATAAAAAAAGCTGGCTAGAAGTATGCGATCGCAAACACCGGTACGTTTATCACGTCTCTTCGGGGTATTTAGAAAACGGCACGCATTAATGTTTTTTTTTTAATTTTGATTGGATAGATATGGAGCGAACTTGCGAGCGTATTATAAAGAATGGAAACGTCAGCCGATGGAGCCCACGAAACCGAGCTTCTGGGAATGGCTGGACGATGAATCAATTGAAGTCGCTGGTGTACCGAGAACGAAACTAGAACGCGAGACTGTGTTGTACTGTGATACGGCCGCTGAACGTCAGAAGTTTGCGCTCTCGGTGCAGAATGGACTCATTGTACATGACGCCTCGCAAGAGATCGTGGAAACTGGGCCGGATGGCTGGATTTTTGTTTTACGCGATGGTGTTCTCTACGGCTCTCAAAAGGAGACGAAGAAGATCCCTCGAATCCACCATACGAGCTTCGTGGGAGGCGAGTGTGTGCAGACAGCAGGCATGATGGTGATCAGTGACGGGGTCATTAAAACTATTTATCCCCACAGCGGTCACTATCGCCCATCCGAGTACGAACTGCTGGTGCTGCTGCGCTTCCTGGTGAATAATGGTGTAGACCTGAGCGACATAGATGTCGACGTGCAGCGAATCCAGAAAGTGTTTCGCGATACTGTGAACGGCGCACTCGTAAAGAAGCTGGACAACGCGCACTTCTGGAACGCGTACCGTGTATGGTACTTCTTGGAAGAGAAGCATCTCGCATGGAAAATCGGACTGTTTGACGAACTTGTCGAGACCGTTGGTCAAAAGACGGATATGCACGTGGCGCTGGAGCGATCGGAAATTCTGGAGGACAGCGTCATGGATGAGATGAACGATGAAGCCTCTGAGATTGCGTTTACGGATAGCGGATCTCACCGTCTGTCTCTCTTGCGACCCGCATACGACGCTCCTACTTTTGAAGATGCGGCGAAGCGGTTGACCACGTGCGATTTACAACCGTGAATCCCTTGACCGTGGCCATCTGAATCGGTTCTTTTTGCCTTCTTAACGCCAAGACACCACTATCACCACCTCCGCACCTTGGCAGCGGATGCAACACACATCAAGCAAGTATAATGTAATCTAGAGGGACCAGAGACATGGAGGGGCTTTCTGGTGTATTGGTAGTTAGCATATTGGTAGTAGCAACAGGGAAGACGAAGTCGAAGCAGCAGGAGGAAGTCAGTATTGGAGCGCAGGGCGCAACATTCGACATCCTCGCGACTGCAGTGGTGCGTTTGATTTTTATTTTATGAATGTGAGTTTCATGATATTTTGCTTGGTCTTGTTCGTAAGTTCAATGGCAGGAGTTTGGGCCGTTTTGCTGAAACAACCGCATGCTTGGCTAAATGTGTTCTTGCTGGCAGTAAATAGACGTTTATTTTCTAAGGTAATGTCGCGGCGTGGCAGCGACACCAGGAGCTCCAACGACTGCGCTAGGACTGTGGAAAGAAGCAAGCGTGATGTTAGTGCTCCAGTGCTCAGCCAGATCCACGTATCCTGCTACGTCACTGCTGCGAATCGCGCTACGCCGGTTTTCGAGGTTCTTCCACAGCAAAACTGCGTGCGAGTGGCAAACAAACCAGCAAATGATTCGTCCTCGGGCGGTGGAACAATTCCAGCAGTGTTAAGTACCTCCCCTAGTGGCAGTGGTGCAGTGTCTTCGGCCGAATGGACTTTACATTCAGTATTTTCGTCAAGTTCGCCGTCACACGCAATCGACTTTTTCACTGAAATCACTTTACCTGCATTACGAACAGCACGAGACGGTATCAATTCAAATGTTGTCGTGTGGGGCGTACATCCGACGCAGAAGTTTCGGCTGCTATTCGGTAAAAGCGTTGGCGGAGGAGGCTTCGCACCACAACCTGAAATGGCTGTGAACGACGTTGTAGAGCTGTATGGTCAGCTAGTGGGAATGCTTCACGCTTTCTTTTCTCAATTAGATATTGGATCAGGACGGCTTCAAGATGGAAAAAGTGAACCGTGGCGACTAGGAATCAGCAGCTGGATCATTGTGAACAACCAAGCGATTGACTTGTTGAAGACTCCGACTGTGGATACAACTAGGATGAACTCTCCAGCCGAACCGTTGACGTTTGTTTCGCTGGAAGCTCCATCTTTGGCCACTGCATTTCGTATTGTGCAGACTGCAAAGACCAATCGCATTGTACGTAAACAGAACGCAGAGAATGTTCACTTTTTCGTACGGTTGGCTTTGTTTCATGGTGGCCAGGTCAGCACAGTTCATCTCGTGGATCTCGTCGACCAAAAGGATTTTCAGGATCAGGTGTCGATACAAGAAAAACTCGAGCTTTACAATATTTTGCAAGATTTAAGGCAGCCGGAAGCTACTTCAAGACAAAGCGGTCGCGCTTCAGCTACTGGCGGCGGATCCAGTGCATCGCTGAGTTCTGCAGGTAAAATGGTGCTATCCAACTTCATGATTCCATTGTTGACTGCGAATGCCAAGACTTTTCTGTATGCCAACGTGATCGACTCTCGTACCAGCTTGCGCGAAAGCGTGCAGATGCTGAATGCAGTGGCCAATCTTCGAGGCTTTGCATGTGTTTGTAGGCCTCTTCGTGGCGTGTCATTTGAGCAGTTATGTTTTGTAGCTAGCTCAAGTGAGCCCGACAAACAACAATTTCCCCATCTAACCGAGCAGAGCAGACGTACCTCTGAAGCAGAGACACTGAGTCGCTCGCCATCACTTACAACATTATCTCCGACGTTGATAAATTCTGAAATCCCGGACAAGCTCTCTTCATTCGACCAGTTATCAACTTTAAATGGAGTGGTGGAGTCTGAAGCTATGAGTTGGTTAAATGTATTTGCTCAGCGAAAGCGAGACATACTCGGTGGCTCCATTGACACGATCGGTACGACAACTTCAGCAGCTAAAGTTCCTGAACATCGTGTTCCGGACACAGCATCTTCATCTGGCTTCGAAAATAGAGTGGAAAGTGAAAAGCTTCACGAGGATTATACCGCACCAGATACACGACCGTCAATAACCGATCTATATGAACAATTGCGCGAGTCTTTGGAAGATGTCAAAGAGATCGAATCGGGTAAACCAGAGAATACTCGAGTATCACATTGCTCGCTTCATTCTGTGCCTCCTCATCCGGAGTCTCACACACCACTACCAATTGTTGACCAAAGTACAGAAGAAGACTTTGCGCAGGTTGGATATAGCAGGAGAACTCTTGGAAGTATTCTGCGGCATCAAACCGAACAATCGCAGCAACTTGATGAAGAGTTAACTTCTTGGGCCCCGCCAGTAAATGGCCACCCTTTAACTCCTCTTGCTTCTTACCGTGACGCTGACTCACGTCCGGAGGTTGATTCGGTAGAACCAGCAGTGAATTCAGCCCCACCATCGATATTTGTATCAGCAGCGGGAGCTTTGGCTGCAATGCCTCCTTTAGCGTCGTCGAAACCTGATTCTTTCAAGTTAGAATCATTGAAAAGGGCCGGTATCGCTCCCTGCGTGATGGAACCTCCGAATGTAGATGGTTTGGATGTTAAGACGGCTCAAAGAGTTCAAGCTGCAGATGCAACTTTACTCAGGAAGAACTACGACGCTCTGCTCTCAATTGTACGCGAGCAGCAGCAAGCAAAAGAGGCAGCAGAGGCTCGAGCGGCTGAGGCAATCCAGGACCAGGAAGAGATGCGTGCTATGTTCGAAGTCCAAATCGAAAACATGAAGCTAGCAAATGTTGGACTTCGAAGCAAGCTGCGTGCTCTAGAGAATCGCACATCACTTCCTCAAGTATTTAAGCAGTATGAACAGGAGTTAAGCACTCTTCACGCTCAGGTACAAGAACTCCAAACTCGAAATGTCACGCTTGAACTCCGGGTAACGTCAAGCATTATTTTGCTATCTCACTTGAGCGTATTTACCGAGATGTGTACTTGACAGACAAGTGGCCCAGAAGGAACTGTGATGGGAGCGAGTGGGTCTTCAATTGAGTTGAAGAAGAAGTACCGGCAAGCGGTCGAAGAGAAATTAGAATTGGAACGAGAAGTTATGGAGCATCGAAAAAGAGAAAGGTTGGTACAACTACAAGATGTTGTTGAGTGCGGCTGTAATTCATGCTTGCGATGCAGGCAACTTCAAGTCCACAGTCGGGTGGCTGGCGAATCTACTCGGCGTGCAGATCAGTTATCACGGTATACAGAGCGAATGTTGTTTTAACTGCAATGCAAACTTACGAATTTGTTGCATTAGGGATTTAAACAACAAAGAGGAAGACCTGGTTGCTACCCGACTGAGTAAGCAGCGTTTGAGTGCAGAAATGAACCAGGCGATTGAAAAAGCAGATCAACTGCATCACGAGAACGAGAAGCTTCTGCAAGAGAAAGCAGCCACGACCGAAGAGCTTTTAGCCACCAGGATGTACCTGGCCTCGCTTGAAAATGTGCGTTGGTATTTGTAGCAGCATTGCACGGATGTCGTTGGTAAACTGGTGACAACGAATTTTGTAGGAGAAGAAGAAAGCGTCAATCCTCGATCGCTTCGTTGAGAAGCATGGTGATCGCATGAGCAAACTCCGTCAACACGGGCAATTCTCATCTGGCAGCAAAGGCGAGGGTTGGCACCGCGACCAGTTCGCACGTGAGTGTGAAGATAAATTACTTGCAGCAGTCAAGCGATCACTTCCACATGCTGTGCCGCTATGCAACAAGATACTTCGCCGTCTCGAGATGCAGGAGCTGTCATTACGCGAGTTCTCCGAGCGCGAAGTGGACTTCATTAATCTTCTCGTCGAGCTCGTATCGGACCAACCTACAGTCTCACTTAAGCAAATGATTGAGCAGGAGATGAATAAGCTTCAATCATAATGTACGCTGATACTAAAAAGACAAACATTTGTGTTGGCAAATGCCAAAGAGAGAGTATTCACTCCTCCATGATTCTGCATTGCCATACTTAATGTGTCTTTCCTTCTCTCTACGATAACAATGCTCGAGACGGCAGTACCACAACGTGGCACTTAGTCGACCGTGGCCATGGCGACGTCCTGCTCCGTGAACTTGCCCTTCTCGGTCTCGGACACGGCGCGGTTCTTGCGCTCCAGGATCTTCTTGCGGTCCTTGTCAAGCTTGAGCTTGGTGATGACCACCTTGGAGGCGTCAATGCCAATGGGCACCGAGGCGCCGTTGGCCTTCTCGCGCACCACACGCTCGACGTGGATGACGAACTTCTTGCGGTACACGGCGGTCACGCGGCCCTCACGGGACTTCTGCGAGCCACGCACGATCATGACCTCGTCCTCCTTGCGGATGGGCATGCTGCGAACCTGAAAATGTCAATAAAAGCAGTTCTCATGAGCCTAAAACGTCACCATCGGCCCGGTAATGACCAGAGTTTTGTAGCTGTCGTCCTGTGAAAGGGGTCGACACTTACGGTTCCCGCGATGCCATGAAGTGCCAGACTCCTTGACGAGTTTCTGACATGGACTTACAGCGCTGAAAGTACCAGTGTACTAACTTACATTGTACTTGTTCTGCAGCTCCTTGGACAGAGGGGCGCTCATGAGCACACGACGCTGGGTCGAGTGGGCGCCGAAGTGGGCCTTGCGGCTTTTGCGGCGCGACGAGGACACGGTCGAGTTGAACTTCACTGTAGTTTCATTCGTAATCAATCACGTTCGAGTGAGCATTTTGTTCCTGTTGGCATGGGCATTATCTATAGAGAAGGCGACGTACTCTTGTTATCACGTAAGAAAAGAGATACTGGACGCTGCGCTGTGGTGTTGGATGAAGGCCTCAGAAGCCAACCAAAACGAGGTCGATTATTGGCGGTTAATGGAGACGGTTAGATGTTAGGGGAGTAATTGGACCGGTTCACTGGTACATGGTACCACTTGTTACTCCAATTGACGTTGTTGGAATAATGGACGCTGGCGGACGAAATGGTAAGCCGACTTATGACATTAATGAACTGCAGGTGCTTATGGTATTAAGAGGCGTGTCTTGTGAGGCGTCTGCAGACTGTTTCTTGCCGATCGGCTTGTGTTGCTTCGCGCTCTGGTGGGCACTACCATTTTTTGCTTTAGAGCGTGCTGTTGGGGGGACAAGTGGTGGATTAATTGTTTGCCTTCAACGATGAGCACGAGGAAATCAATCGACGTACCTCTTGAATAAGGGTGGCAGGATCGGTGGCAGTCTGCACACGAGAGTTTTTCATGATGGCAGCTGCACTGGGCCTCTTTGTTGGATCGGGGTGCATCATCTTTACGTTTACATGACAGTCATGTCAGTTCCAACACCAGACATTGCAATACACGCATGGATAATTGTTTTCGTACCTGTAGAATTATCTCACCGAGTTCCTTCGAGTACTCTGGAGACAAGGAAGGCAAATCTCCATCCCTAAGGTCATGCCACTTCTTTCCAGCTTCTGGCAAAACCATTCCAGTCGCAATTTCCAGCATCATAATGCCTGCGATATAACACGTCAACCATGAGTATCATCACGCCTTCAATACCTATTCGGATTAAATCAGCTTACCAAGACAGAAAATATCCGCTGAAGGTAGTCGGTCCGCGCTGGAAAGGAGCTCCTTCGCCATGTACTTCGCATCTCCTTCAAGATCGCTTATTTTTCTCGACGCTTTGGCAGATATCACCACTTTTCCAGCCATACCGAAGTCTCCGATCTTTAAACGTCCGTCTCCCGTGATAAATATGTTGTCAGGTTTGATATCCAGATGAACAAGACCGTGGTCACCAAGAACTTCGAGTCCGCTTGCAACATCCCGTAGGATACTCCACAAGTAGCTTTCAGGAAGAGCCTCCCGGTTTCGCGTCATAATAAAATCTTGTAATGTGCCTCCCTCGCACAGTTCCATTTGCAAGTAGAAAAAACCTGCATTCAAATGCACGATTAGTAAATAAATCGCCGGCAATTATAGTCGCATAAACGAAGATGTACATACCATTCTCCTGCCACGCTTGATAATACCGAACGATGTTGTCGAAGTTGTGTCGTGACGATGCCAACTTCTCTAGGATGGTAATTTCTTGGGCCAACAGATCACTTGTAGAGTCATCACCACATACGTAAGTAAAACAGCTATCAAATACATTTCGCCAGCATAAATTCCATACCGTTCTCGGTCATTTCGCAGCTCTTGCTTCGACTTCTTGACGGCGAAAAGCTCTCCACTCTTTGGATCTCGGACCTTTGCCAGCACACGGAGTGAGTCAATCAATACACGCGAAGCACCTGATTCAAATAAAATCTCATCACACCTTGAATACTTCTGCCGACACGCCTGCTCCAAGCCAACGGATGGTTTGCAAACTTTCAAACGAACTGACAAACTGGTTCTGTTCGACAACGAATCACAATTCAGATCCTTCATTTGCCAAAACATCTTCACCAAAACTCACCGGACAATCTGCAACGCTGAGTCTCTTCAGAACTATGTTTCTCCTTTGTGAGCGTCGGCGAATATGCACAGGACTCTTCATCGACAAAATTGTTCCAAGGTTATGACTAAGCAACGTCGCTGGACTCGCACACGGTGGCGACACCGATCTACTACACCTACACCAATCCATATCATACCAACAATTAGACCCAATTCAACTAATCACAGTGCATTCTTTACACCACCGTACCGTGTGGCGAGCCCTGGTCTCCTGTGCGTCGGTGTGCTCTGCTCCGAGCTGGATCGTCGTTGTTGCTGTATCTTGTTGGGTGATATCAATTCGCGCCGACGGTACGGAGGGTCCTGCCTACCATACACACCGAGACGCTCCATGCGTCGTGTGCGGTAGCGAAATGTTCCCCCGGCCGCCGCTGCTTTAGTATTACTTGGGCTTGTATCATCATTGCTATCGTTGAGTTTGCAGCGGTTCTCCTGATCTACTTCTTCGTTGCTTTCGTCGTCATCGTCGCTGCTGATGAAGCTCAGCGTTTTGTTTACACGTGGGGATGAGGCCTCTTCCATTGCGGCATGCAGAGAGCGCGCCCGCATCGGCGACGGAGACGCCGAGTTCCGCACCATTTTCGCTTCCTAATTGCCGCCAATTTTGGTCTTTGGTACAATTTGCCACACCCATTTTTCGACCAATCATAGACAGTGAAAACTGTCCGAAGGGTATTTTTAGGCGCAAAACTTAGACGAGAAGCTCATCATTCTGGAGGCGTTCAAGAACGGCGGACACGTCAAGATGTTGAGTAAGATCTCACATTGGCTGGCCACGCGGCACGAGGACAAGGGCGGTGCTAGCGATGCTTTCGTGCAGCAGCGCTATGACGCGCTGGTATGTTGGTTGGAGCTGTTGCAATTGACGAGATCTGAGAATTTTGTCATTGAACTACAGTCGCGGCTTAAGAACGCCACGCTAGCGGTGCTACGCAAGGAAAATGCGGCGGATTTAAACGATGTAGGCGAACAGCAACCAACTGCCGGGCAGCAGGAAGGGTCAATGCCCCGGGAGATACGTCTGCCGCTGACAGAACACGACTCTTGTGTTGGCGAGCTCTGTACGTTGCTGCCCTGGTTGAGTTTAGGCAGTGAACAGATAGATATTGACGATTGTATTTTGTGTGGTCAGGTGTGGCACTGGAGGAATGCTTGGTGTTGGGACTCAAACCCCGCAGTGACGAGGAGCAGCCGTGTTGGTGGCACGTGCTGTATGCCAGCACGCTCATTGTTGACGAGCCAACGCTAGTGCAGAGCGTGCTCTCTGCAGCATTCCTATCGGAGGTTTGTTTGGTGGTTTATAAGAGGGTATTGACACATTCATTGATGGTACTGTGGTGATTCTGACAGACTGATGTAGGGAAAGCACGTTGCTGGTTGAAGATTGCGCTAAACAACCACACTATTGAGTCCAGTATAATGGTAGGCACTAAGATTATGCTTTGGTTATCTTGCAAGCTTCTTACAGTTTTGTTTTGGACTTTTGGGCAATTTTTAGATGATTTTCTCAATGGCATGCGAGCACTTGATCCGCAACAATTACGAGGAGTGGTCACTCGTTCGCTGCTCTGAAGGATTGGGGTTGTTTCTAGAGCTGGTTATTGCTCTTCGAGAGGTGCATTTCGCTATTGAAGTCAATGGCGAGCCATTCTATGTGCCGGAGCAAGCGGAATCAACAGAACCAGAGCCTACTGAGAGCAACAGCGGAGAAATGGTTTCTACAATTACAGATGCAGATATTGCTGCTGCGGTGGGGGCGTCGCCTTCCAGAGCTGGATCATTCCTACCACCCCCAGACGCTGAACCAGTGCTAGTCGAGCTAGAAGACGTAAAAGACCTGGAGATTCAAGAGGCTGAAACCGTCACAGAAGAAGAAGAGGACTGTATCCAGTTGCCTTCGGCGTTATTTCCGCATCGCCTCAAGGACATAAAACCATGGCAGTACGTGTTCGGTGTCAGTCTGGCATCCCTCTCGAAGAATCCGTACCACAGCCGCTACGCTCTGATTGACCCACTTCTAGCACTCCCGAACATTGTGGACGATTGCGTTGCGATATTGAGAGAGAATCCAGACACCCCGCGACTGTTTCGTGCGACTGTGTTGAGCATTCGCTTGAACCAGCTTCGGGAAATTGTGGAGACGGAGGGTTCAGTACCAAAAGATCTGGATCCACAATGTGCAGGAGCATTACTCTTAGATTTTCTGAAAAATCTGCCAGACTCCATAGTGACCGATGACAAATACGACGCGTTTGTGGCTGCTGGGCAATTACGCGATGAAGACGCAAGCGTTCGGAACATTACGTGCTTGGTGAACGACCTGCCTGTGCATTGCCAGATTGTATTGAAAAGAGTTATCAACCTGATGAACTTTTTGCAGCAACCAGAGCATTGTGAACAAAATGGCGTCGATGTCGTTACAGCGTCTTCTGTACTAGCTCCAGTAATTGCATTCAAGAAAGACTCTGGAAGTGGCTTGCCATCCGAACGCACGCGTGCTAGGACGCATTCTCAGTATCAAGACGTGAGGTATGCAGCAGTGGGAGCCCAAGTGGTGGAGCGGATGATCGAGCACTACGCGACCATTTTTCATGATGTACGTGTGCAAGTTGTGGATGCACTTGAGCGCCTGGAGGCCAAGAAGGAAGCACTTCGAATGGTGTCGCATCAGATGAAGCTCCAACCACAGATGAACTTTTTGTCAGATAGACAGCAGTTGAACGAGATTAGTCGATTATTCCGCGACCACTTAGAAGGAGGTGATATCACTTCAACAGCAAATAACGCAGTAACTGCGCAAAGCGCAGAGAGCTCAAAATCAGAAACTGCAACAGATCTGGAGACTGAAACGCAACCTAACACTACCACCAACTTGGAGCTAGACTTGCGGAGGCCGACAGCTGCGACGCCACCGACTAGTGCTACTAGCAGTGGGGGATCTTCACCGACAACCAGCGAAATAACAGAGCAGGAACTCGTGAGCATCTGGGAGCAGTTTGGTTTTAATAGGCCAACCATCTTGGGGAATTTTGAGAAGGGTGGCGTGCTGATGCTACGAGCTATTTTGTACTGGCTGAAAAATGACCCAGATGCATTATCGCTGCTGAAGATGCGAGCACTACCGTCTGAGTTGCCGTCTTACGACGCAGGACTGGTGGCGTCGTCCATTTGCGAGTCCTTAGTGAAGCTTCTGAAACTATTGTAAGTTGTTTTATACTTTCGTTTTGTGCTGTAGCTAACGTTCCCATTTTATACCTACAGTTTGAGCCCGAAGCACCCGGAGATCGACATTGTGACAATGTCATTGGAGCCATTCTGGGAGCTATTTGACGAGGACATGTACTTCAGTAAGCTGTTCATGTTCATGTTTCAGGTGTACGATCAACTCTGGAGTGAATTGGACCCAAAGGCGGCATCTTTTACTCGTGTGATTACTGAAACCGAGGGAATCATGAACGAGTTATTGAAGAAAGCGCCAATTACTGTGTACGACCTGCGAATGGAATGGGAAGATATAAGAACACGCCGTCTCGATGAGGGCGAAGAGGTTCTGGAAATGCAAGCAGAGCTGGTCGAAGATGAAGCGTTCCGGATTGCAGAACTCGCAGATCAATCGCTACTTTCACCCCCATTGCGCTACTCCAAGAAGAAACCCTCGTTCGATTATAATCCAGACGATTACAAGTCGAAGCTGATGGAGTCATCAAGCATTCTGGAGATAGAGCACATCGCGTATATTGACCATGCGTTGCCGATCACAAGTCAATTGTGTCGGTGGTATCGAATTTACAGTGTCGAGGCGAATGGATCCTCGTTGGAGACATTGCTCATACTAGCGAAGAAGCAGAGCCCGACGTTATTGGTGGTCAAGGACGCTGGGGGAAATGTGTTTGGTGGATTTGCTTCGGACGAATGGCACCATGCTTTCCACTATTATGGGACGGGTGAGTCTTTCTTGTTTTCCTTCGCGAACCCAAGCGCTGCAGGTGGGTTTGTGAAGTATCAATGGAGCCGCAAGAATAGTTACTTTATGCTGTGCTCGGATGAGTCGTTGATTATGGGTGGCGGTGGCAACTTTGGTTTGTTCCTGGTGAGTACTGTAGAGCTGCTTACTGTAAGGGATGAAGACTAATACGTTTGTTCTCTTTGGTCCATCAGGATAGCGATTTATCCAGAGGAACAAGTGGCGCGTGCGAGACGTTTAATTCGCCTCCATTAACCACCTCGCAAGAGTTTTCTTGCGTCCAAGTCGAGTTGTGGGGCTTCACAACAGGAGACAAGCCCGTTGAAATCGGTGAGCGACACAGGAAGAGTGTGTTGGACTAGCAGCTGGGACTGCCAAAAGAACGACAACGTTATATCTATTTACTCTAAACCCGGGGGAATCGACTAGTGCATACAGTATAGTAATCAGTGAAAGCACGGCTAGGTAATATATTCTGAAAAAAAAAACTCGATATATTGCAATCTCATTGCAAGCCATAGTCGCCACTAGGTTGTAGCAGCAATGGGTTGTCAAGTTCGTTCTCGAATCTCCGAAATGGAGCCTCGACAGCTTCGCGCTGCAATAATATCAGCAAATGAACAGATCATAATTCGAAACGTTTCATCAGTATGAAAGTTTAGGCAATTGACAAACCTCTTCGGCGGTAGGTGTTGCGCTGGTTTGTAATTGCGGCTGCAATAGCTCTAGTTCGTGCTCAAAAACCTCTGAAAATCGCTCAAGAATTCGCTGTAGAAATGCCTTTAGAGCGATGCACGCTGTATCCGTTGTCCGATCATGGAATAAAACTGCCTGGACGATCTCATTCTGGAGCGAGATCATCACGAGGCCACCGGAAGAAGACTGCACAACGGGTTGGTAGGCGTAAGCTCCAATAGCAGTTTTAATACTGCTAAGCTGCTTACGGGCATTGGGCTGCTGCCAGATCGGTCCTTCTTATCAGTTTTGCTCGGGTCAAAGTGCACCTGCACAACCTCTATGGTGCATTTTGCATACTGTTAGAACTGTTTTGCCACATAAAATTGAGTAAACCGCACCTCCTCCGTCGATCTCACGCGCGAACTGCGTGAAGGACATGACGAGCGCGTCAACGCCCTCCGCGTGCGCGTGCGGGTTCCATTTCCACTGGTGCGTGAACAGACACACGCCAGACTGCTGATGCAGCACCTTGACCATTCGCAGTTCGCCGAGCAGAGCGTTCATTATTGTGGTAAATTCAAAATGTTGCAAGACAATATCAATTTATAAAGACAATTATTTTTAAATTATGCAATTGTTTCAGCTTTGGCAAATGAGGCAAATTGCACAATTTGCAAGAAATTTGGATCCAAATTCAAATTATTGACAATAATAAAGAGTTTGTGGAATTAGACAATAATTTATGCATTTGACACAATAAATAATTGGTCAATTCATTGTAAAGCAATATCAATTCATAAAGACTGTGCTCTCATAAATTATACTATGAGCGAATGGAAGCGTCACTTGACTTTTGGGCAACATGAGTGGCATGAGGGCGACATACAAGTTCCACGGCGAGGTGGTACACTCGTTCGAAAGCTTTCCGAGCGCCACCGAGGCGTCCAATGAGTACGCTCCGCCACCCGGAGAAGAGCAGCTCAACCACTCGTACTCAGGCAAGATGGACGGCGGCAAACCCATGCCCGAGCTTAAATCAACAGGCCCGTACGCCGCTCTCGTCACCGCCATCAAGGTGCGAGCATTTTCATGCAATAATTTACCACTGAAGCAATTATTAAATATGCAGTATCGTTACTGAATACCGGCACCGTTATTATTAACATCATGATGTGACACAGCGAGCGAAGGAGGACAGCGAGGGGTTCCTGAAGGACAGGGTGGAAGGTCCTGTGCCGGCCAAACTCTACAACCAATAAAGCACGGAGCTGTGCACTTTACAACTTCAATTTTACTAGCATCCCTTTCAACAAACAATGCGTTTTATTTTTCATCAATTTCTAGATGAGAAGATCAGTTTCTTAAGGACAAAGATACAAAGTCGACAAGCCCCATGCAAGTAGGTAGCCACAGCTCTGGCGACCATCCGAATGCCCACATAGGTCGCTATTTGAAGCACACCACCGCCGAGTTCTCAGCTGATTCTGTTGCAGTATTGCTACTGCTCAGTTTCGCTCGCATCACTTTCGTTCCACACGGGTAGTGGCATGTGCTCCAGCTCGCGGTAGGATCGATCGGTGGCTTTATGCCGCTTCTTATAGCGGCGCTTGGTGTGAGGAGCCGGGACATGAAAAATCTTCTTGAGACTCGGAATCTGATGCGCTGCATGTGTGCGCAGATGACGACCAGAGTAGTCAGTTGGCGTTGTACGGCCACTGCTTCTTGCAGCGATAGCCGCTGTTTGTGCCGTCTCCGTAGTCTTCTGAAGATGTTTCGGGTTGGTGCATTCAGAGCAAAACCATGGGATTCCATCCGGAGGAACCATAGCGAGGTTTGTACAGTTGAGATGAAAGGCGGCAGGGCAGCCATCGCAGCAAATGAGTTCGCCTGCTAGGCCACAGCGGAAGCACGCATCTTCGTTCAAGTCGTTCTGCAAATATTTGACACGCGTTAATATACTTTTCGGGAAACCAGTTGTGCAAAGCGCGACTTACCTGGTCGGTGTTGACGAAGATCTGCTTGCCCTTGACACGGTCAATCAGGCGATGAATGCGGTCTGGATCAATAGAGCTGGAGGACGGAACGCGCTTGTTCCATTTAGACTTGCCCTCTGCAAACGCTGCAAGTTCATCAATGCAGCGTGCTTGTGCTTGAGAGAGACCCAGTCGTTTGTGAATGAGTTTAGTACCCGAAGTAGTCTGATTTGCTTTCGGACGACCACGCTTCTTAGGAGGGCGACCAGGTCCCTTCTTAGCCAGCACAGGAGAAGAAGCTTCTATCGTGAAATCCGTTGTGAGGTGTATCGTCCAGTCGGATATACCTCCGCAAATGTAGCTGTGAAGAGCCCTCATTTCAGGCAGGTGTTTCCCTGCTATCACCTTCTCGTACCAGTTGCTGTTACGTGATATCTTTTCGACAGGTTTACTGTGAGTTGCTTGTGGTGGTGTGAGAGATACATCCTCTTCAGTGGTTGTGGAGCACACCGAGGAAGGACTACTTGATGGCAGACAACGTAGCTCGCCGTTATGTACATTTCCTTCTTCTTTCTTGGGACGTCGTGATCGATGGCTGAGGAACAGTCGACGATTCTTGAACCCGTAATACTCCAACCAACTATCGTGCATCTGCGAGCTTTTCAGCAGCGCCAGCGAGGTCAAATGAACGGGACGTTTAAGCTCGGGTGGTTCCTCATCCACTGGCACCTGTTTCTTTGCCTTGGCGGTACCCACCACACGAGGATCGAACGAAGGAATCTTCGACCGCTTGAGACCGATCTTTCCTGTACACGAAGTGGAGCCACATCTGCAGTCGGCAGCCTCGCCGAAATGTGAGAAGTTATAGTCGATTGTGATCTCCTCGTTGGGGGCAATGTTACGGCGTGCGAAAATACCAATGCGTTGCATTCCATCCACGTTCCTGTTACGACCGCTTAAAAGTTAGTCGACATGCTAAATCTACAGCGTTTTCAAGAACCTAAACGTACCATTTCTGGGTCACGCAGTTGGGGTCGCAACTGTGGTTGATGAAGCGTGAGTCGTTACTGCGGTACTTGGCGTCGATGACGATGTTCTTCTCCAGTTCCATCATGTAGAAGTTGACCTAGTATACAGTAAAAATCAGTACAACATAACGTCAAACCATAGCACGCCAAGTCACTGACCTCGCCGTTGTCCCTGTATGTGATCATCCTGCGTTCGCACTCCTTGTCATCAATGACTTCGCCCACGTATTCAATGACGAACTCTCCCGCATTGATGTCCTCGTTGGCGATGAGTCCAAATCCAGGGCCGGGAATGTACTCCACTCTCATTGACTTGAGTTCCCGTCTCTTGATGGCACGATTGCTACACAAGCTCGGGTCCGGGGCGGAGCATGTTTCATCCGAGCAACTGATCAACAGCATGCGGTTGTAGCACCCTTCTCCACAGTACACGATCCTCTCCATCTCGTCATGTTTCTCTATGTCCTGTTCTTTGTCTGCCAGCACCTTCTGAGCCTTGGCACTGGCCATCATGGTCGTGCGCTTGGTCATGGACTTGTGGATCTCCTCATAGCACGTACATTTGTGCACGGGGAAATCAGCGATAGGCATCTTGGTGGACACGTAGACGCAGCGACTGATCTTGCCGAATGGGGGTGGGCGGCGCACCCATTGACGCTCCTCGAGACTTTTGATCTCCGCCTCCTTGAAGGGCAATTGGAACTCCACAATGCGCTTTTCGAGAGGAGATTTGGCTGAGCCACGGCGCTTAGGAAGCGGCGGCGGTGGTGGCGGCAAGCGATGGACGTCGTCCTCCAAAAGCTGCAGGAAGATCGTCGTCTCGGAGTCAAGCAGGTCCTGAGGCCCCGCTTCAGGCTCAGGCTCATTGGTCGAGACAACAGTGGAATTCTTCTTGAGCAGTCGACCAGGTCCAGGCTTGGCCCTCTTTGGCTTGCCGTTGGGGCTGGTGGCCTCAAGTTTGCGCTTCTTGGCTGGGCCCCGCCGCCCGGCCTGCTTCGGAGGCATTAGGCACACAGTTTTGTATTAGCTGAGACCGAAGCGGTTGATTGGCGACTGAATCACGGGCGCCAAAATCACCCGCCCAACGCGTGACTTGAAATTTGTAAGTGAAGACGCACATCCCCATTGCGCGCGTCGAATTCAAACCAGTCTCAAATATGATTGGATGAAAATGATGATAATGAAATCTATCATTGGACGAAAAAGTCATGACTTACCAGTATCAGTAAAATCGACATGCTAGTCATCCTATTGTGGACATCTAAGTATCTACCCCGTCCTCTGTCTAGAGCTGCGCTTCCCGAGCATTGACCTCGTCCAGCGCGGCCGCGAGCGTCTTCACGGCTTCGAGCTCAGCAAAATCCACTTGCGCCTTCTTTAGCACGCCGCGAATGTACAGACGGCACGAGTATAGAGCCTTCTTAGTGCCTTCAGCCAAGTAATCCTCTGTAAGTCGAGAGGCGGCCGCACACAGATCCTCCACCTTCTGCTGTTCACGCTCCCAGCCCGCAACTTGCAGCGCACGGCACTGCTTCAGTCGGCAGTCACGAGCCTTATCGGCACGACCTTCCACGCCGTCATTAAAGTGCGCGTACACTTGCCAAATCTTAGCGTCATTCGTCACGATGGACGTCACACGGCCGAAAAGCATCGCAAGTTGCCTTTTGTAGTGCGAGTCAGACCGTGGAGGAGTCGCATCGGTGGCTGTCGCTGCCTCATCGAGCTCCGCTAAGTCTTCATCTTCACTAAGTGGGTCAACATCCTCCTCCTCGTCGTCCGATACAACCTTTTGAACGACTCCAGCTTCAGCATCAGCCTCCTGCTGCATCTTCTTCAGTGACTCAGGATACACGATTGCTTCTACGAGCCACGCTAGCATTTCACTGTCGACAGGGCGCTTGTGTTTGGCACGCATGTCCAGGAGCTGGTGCATAGCATACATGGCTTCGCCGTAGCGCTTGGTCTCCATAGCACACAGGGCGTAGTTCTCCCACATCTGCCACATGTGACGCTTCTGCTTAAGAGCCTCTTCCAGCACTGCGAAAGCCTCTGCATAGCGCTGATTGTGTAGATGGATGGAGCCCAAGTTACCCCATGCCTCACCATTGTCCGGCTCTAGCTGCACAACGCGTGTGAATGCACGCATAGCAAGAGCCCAGCGGTGTACGCGCATCGCGATCGCACCTAGAGTGAACCAAGCGCCTGTGTGCATGGGACCCACACGCACAGCGTCCTCATAATGAGGAATAGCTGCTTCATGGTCTCCCTTCTCAAAGTAATAGCGTCCGAGTGAACGTTTGGCGCGAGCGAAGCGCTGTTTGGAGAGCGTCCAAGACGTCTCGTAGTGTGAAGGCTCCTGGGTGAGGTCTCCCAGCGTGACCCACATGAACGGCGTGGGGGCAATCTCCAGACGCTCACGCACAAGTTTCTCTGCACGCATTGGCTTGTCCAGGAGCTGGTAGCACTTGACGACGTCATCCCACATCTCCAGCTCTTCGCAAATTTCGACAGCACTTCCTAGAACACCAAGCTTGAAGTAACGTTCGGCCAGATCGCGCTTGAGTGCATATCGTGGAGGGAAGGCCAGTGAATACACAAACTGCATACGTTCACGAGCTGGTGCTGAGTCAGCGATAGACTGAAGCGTGTTCTGTGTGATCGTGAGTCGAGTAGTGTGCTGGTCTACTAGGGCCTGCATCTGCAGAACAGCGCGTTCACGGCGCTTTGAGCTTTCGCACTCGAGCCACGCTCGTTCTAGTAGCGCTGTGGAGTACACCATCCAGTTGTTGGGGTTTTCAAGCACACGTGTGACGTAAGGCATCATCTCCTCGCGGGTGAGGCCATCGTTGGCGTTACTGTTCTTCACGTCCAGACACAGTCCAAGTAGCACAATCTGGTCGACGATCTGCAAATTTCCTTGCTGTGTGAGCTTACGGTCCTCAAATGCAATGCTTTCCAGAAGATAATTGTCTTGGTCCACTTGGTCCAAATTTACGTTGCGATAGGAAGCTTCACCCTCCTGTACAAGTTTCTGGATGTGCTCTTCCTCGGCTGTAAGTCCGTCGGCAGGTGGAGCAGCACTAGTGTCTCCTTCAGCCGTCATTTGCTTGCCACCAAAGTCCACGTGAGTCGATTCAGCCACAGCTGTAGCGTAGACGGAGGAGTCTTCGTCCTCAGTCACAGGCTCTTTCTTCGACGCTGCGAGCAACACCATCTGAGCCACACTCTTCTGCTGGAACTTGGTTCGTTTGCCCATAGAACCACTGAGCTGCACACTCACACCAGATATCTCCTTTGCGCGGGCAAATGTGGCTTTACCATGCTTGTTCTTGTCGAAGTAGTGCTGAGCTAGGCCCCACTCCACGTACGCACGAGCGTGTAAGTATTGAGTGTCCTTCTCAAAGGCGAAGAGATCGGTCGTCTTTAGCGTCTGGATGTACCCACGACGAGCTTCAAACCACAGCGTGTTCGACGGCTGCTTAGCAAGCAGCAGACGTTCGTGCGCCACAGCAGCACGAGCGTTCCACCACGCAGCTGATTTAATCTGCTCGAACATCTCGCCAAGCGCACGGATAGCGGCTCCGCCAGTAATTTGGCGCTTGGCAGGTCCTTCCACAACATCGTCCGACACCTCGTTGTCGTTCTGGCCGCTCACAACCTCGTTGGCAGCCACGGACCAGTCGTTGTAAGCATGGTTGCCCACAAAGTCCAGCAGGCAGCGGCCAACGAGCAGGAACTGCGGGTACTCACAGATGGAGAACGGACTCTCACCGTCCACCTGCAGCGCCACAAGTGCGTCGCTGTGTGATTTCTTATCGCTGCTTTCACTTGAAGAAGACACGAGGCGCGTGGCTAGATCGAGCACGTCCCGCAGTGTCTCCTTTTCAAAAGCCGGTCCCGTGTAGTTCGCCTGTACGTACATGTCGAAGAAGGCAACACCGACGAATAGAATCTCATATGCGGTCACGAGACGACTCTCCGCACTGTCACACTGGTCCAGCAAGTAGCTCTGGAGCTCTGAAGCGATACTACTGCAAATGTGACTGTCCTCGTCCTCGTTGTCCTGCTCTTCGCTCTGCAGTTGGGCCACGGCATGCAGAAGCTTCTGTGCCTGTTGCAAGCGAATCACGTCGGCATACTCACCCTCACAGATGAGTTTCGCCATTGCCAACACCGGAGACACTTCGTCGTCATCCTTAAGAGCCTGTTGGGCCTCGATCACGCTCTTGGTGTCGCTCTCCAGCACTGCGCGCTCGATTGCGACCAATCGCTGCTCTAGCAGTTTCTGTGCGTCATCCTGCGTGATGTCGATGTCAGACACCTTCACACCGCACAGCTCCTGCATCAGGTCGTCCGTGTCTGCCATCGCTTGGGTTTGAAAGTGATGAGCTCCAGTGGCTTAAAACGCCTCAGACGCTGCCTTGATTACGAATCAGATACTTGTGAGTTTTAGTACTTCTAGAAATTAGAAATTTAACTTTCTCCTAAAATTGAAGTTTTTTTCGGTTTTAGAATAATTGTTTCAGTACATATTTAGTTTAGCGGGGAAATCCCAATTATTGTGAAATTTCAGTGCGAGAACACATTCATTATTCACGACGACAATGGAGGAGGACCAGTTGACGGCAATGACGCCGGCGCAGAAGAAGCTGTTCGAGGTCCGCATGAAAATGAACGCGGGGAGGAAGGCCAACAAGCAGGTGCGGTGACATAGCGGAGACAGGAACTGCGCTCGCTCTTGGATAACAGTCCGCGCGGGTTCGTTATTCGTCCTGTAGGAGGTGGCGGCGGAGCACGAGCGTGCCAAGAACAATAATAACAAGGCCAAGAAGGAAGAGCAGTACAAGAAAAGAGAGGTACGTATTTTTTTTTTATTGTTTTGTCATCGATGCCGTAGCAACAAAGCTAGTCGCTATAAGCGAATTTGTGGATCTCTCATATGCTGCTTACTGGTGCTGTAACAGGAAAAGAAATTGGTAGCAGCGAGTGGTAAAGCTCACCTTAATGAGACAGGTTTGTGTGTTTGACTTACATCTGTGATATGAGCATGAGAGCTTGGCACTGACCTTGTGGTTTGTTTGCAGCCGAGGTGGCTGAAATGAAAACAAAGAAGGCCAGCAAGAAGGAGAAGCGGAAAGCTGCCTTTGGGTGGGACGTCTTTAACCAAGACTCATTGTACAAGGGTTACAAGAAGCGACTCGTGAACTTGCCCACGTCAGCAGAGCCTGCGACAGCCGTGGCTACAACAAGTGAAGATGCACTTGGTGACGAACTGGCTTACGGCAGGGACGACAAAGTCGAGGAGGTGCGTGCTATAGTCCGGGTATTCGGGGTATCGACACTCGCTAACAATTGATCGTGCGTATTGTGAAATCGCAGGCAAACGTGGAACGCATGGCACAGGAACTGGAGGAACGTATCAAGGCGCGCAAGAAATTCAGCCGCAGGCGCCAGCATTACGAGGGTGAGGACGTCGACTATATCAATGGCCAGAACCGCATCTTCAACCGCAAGGCGTCACAGGCCTTCGACAAGTACACAGTGGAGATTCGGCAGAACCTTGAGCGGGGCACTGCGCTATAGTCCTGTTAGCGGTCATTGGCTGACAGCCAACCATAAATTCAATTCATTTTTCATTATTTTGGCTCGTCATTATTTATTGCTTCCGCAGACTATGAAGAAACAGTAAGGAATGGGGCGACGGCAGCGCCGTACAAGCCTTTAGATGGCCTTTAGGCTCAAGGTAAACACGGCGATGGGATGCGGTTGCCACGACACTGCTCGGTTCTGTTTCCATCCGTTGAAGACAGTTGAAGAGCATGTTTGCTTTTTAAATGTAGGGAAACTCAGACCGGATCTGAGTTTCTCTACATTTAAACAGCATCTGATTCGAAGATGCTTTTAAACCGGTTAGTACACAAAAACTTGGTAAACATTATGCAATTTGATTTCGAAGGTGCGCCACAAGATTTTTCAGCCAATCATCGAAAGTGGGCCACACGTTTTTTCAGCCAATCATCGACGCTACCCATCACCGTTTTTGTTTCTAAATATATTTTCTATCCCTTAGAAAAAGTCTCACTTGGGCCACGTAAAAGAATTACGGGCCACTTGAAGCCACTCCTTTCCACGCCTGTCATTCCCGGTTTCCCCGCGTGCTTCACAAGTTCTACGACCAAGACTACCATGGCTCCCCAGACCACCCCCGCTGCCGGCTCGGCCCCCACCGAAGGCACCTTCCTCGTGAAGGCCGGCCTTGCCAAGATGCTCAAGGGCGGTGTCATCATGGATGTGACGAACGTCGAGCAGGCGCGCATCGCTGAGGAGGCTGGCGCCGTGGCCGTCATGGCCCTCGAGCGCATCCCCGCTGACATCCGTGTGGACGGCGGCGTGGCTCGTATGAGTGACCCGCAGATGATTGAGGCTATCAAGAAGGCCGTGACGATCCCCGTCATGGCCAAGGTCCGTATCGGCCACTTCGTGGAGGCCCAGATTCTCGAAGCCACCGAGATCGACTACATCGATGAGAGCGAGGTGCTGACCATGGCCGACGAGGAGAACCACATCAACAAGAACAAGTTCAAGGTGCCGTTCGTGTGCGGCTGCCGCAACCTGGGCGAGGCTCTGCGTCGCGTTGCCGAGGGTGCTGCCATGCTGCGCACCAAGGGCGAGGCCGGTACCGGCAACGTCGTGGAGGCCGTGCGTCACGCCCGCTCGGTGCAGCGTGAGATCCGCCGTCTTGTCTCCATGGACGAGGACGAGCTGTTCGTGGCTGCCAAGGAGATGCAGGCTCCCTATGAGCTGGTGAAGCAGGTTGCCACCACGGGCAAGCTGCCGGTCGTGAACTTCGCCGCCGGTGGTGTCGCCACCCCCGCTGACGCTGCTCTCATGATGCAGCTCGGCATGGACGGTGTGTTCGTCGGTTCGGGCATCTTCAAGAGCGGCGACCCGGCCAAGCGCGCCCGCGCCATGGTGCAGGCCGTGACCCACTTCAACGACGCCAAGATTCTCAAGGAGATCTCCACTAACCTGGGCGAGGCTATGGTTGGCGTGCAGGACCTGAAGGCTGCGTCTGTCAACTTCCGTGACCGTGAGGGCGGACTCCGTGGCGCCTGGTAAATAGGCTCTGGAGCTTGCACTATAGTGCGGTTAAATCTCTACCGCCAGTTGCGCTAGAGAGCCGAGTAGAATATTGCAAGCTCGCCGCTTTATACTGTCAATATATTGTTATTGCTCAAGTTTATCGCTCGTTTCGGTGCGTATGGAACACTTTGCGCATCAAATCTATGCGTGGTTCAACGCCAGTAAAGTTATCTGCATACGTCTACCTCGAAAGGCTCGCCGGCATGAGTGATAGTGCTCTTGATGGCTTGGTACGTCATGAGCACAGCTCCGATGCAGATTGTCGCGCCGATGCACAGTACGATCACGGACTGACGGCCAGTTCTGCGTACGAAGCCCAAAATGATCACCTGCGAGACAGCAGTGACCACGAACGCCAGCGCAGACAGAAGCAAGGCCCAGTCCCACGCGATCATGTTGAATACGGCAAACTTGGCTGTTGCTGCAGCTGAGGAATACAGCACCATGAGTGCTGTAGTGGCCGACGCAACTTCAGGCACGATGCCCATCTCAATCATCAAAGGACCAGTGACGATTCCTCCACCAACGCCGAACAGTCCAGCGATCAGACCGGCGCCGGCACAAGCCAACGGAAAGTGGACAACCGCCTTCTTCGTCCAGTGGATATCACCCGCTGCAAATTCGTAGTTGACAGACACTTTTCGGCGATGCTGTCGGTAGAGATATACTGCTGTACAGGCACCGAAGCCAGCGATCCACGGGAGTTCCATGACGAGTAACAACCAGTAGGCGATACCTCCGCAAGTCACTGCTGCTCCACCGATACTTGCAGCTACGATGCCCATGTAGCAAAGCATGATAGCGCCTTGTTTGGTCAGCGAGAAATGGCGTTCCCGTTCCAAGATTTCGGCCAGCACCTCATCGTCAGTCGGGCCACCACATTCGTTGGATCGGCTTCCTGTTCCTTTAAGTAGAGAATCACCGGTGAAATCACCACTAACATCGTCAACAGCTTTATCTTCAGGGCACGACCTTGATGAGCGCATGGCCACGAATGGAGCAGCTCGCTGCTCTTCCGTTGTTTCAATCGCTGCTGGCGTAGGAGAAACCTCCAGCACTTTGCAGCTTTTCGTCTCGACACGATACTTCTTGATCCCTTTAGATACAGTACGAGTACCTCCCACGACGAGCACCACGACAAAAAGCAGCGAGAGCAAATAACTGGGGAGTAACTTAGCAAGCACAGTGCCCACCACTGCACCGCCCATTACCAATGGAATCATCGATAGAGCCAAGTCCGAGTCAATGAGAGGGCGGTCCACTGCCGGGTGACGTTTGCGGATGTTGAACCAAGCATTGGCGATAGCACCACCAACAATTGCCAGATTGGATACCGGCGTTGCACGCTTGATATCGAAACCCATGATGAGGACCAATGCTGGCACTAGAATAGTCCCGCCACCTACGCCGCCTGCAGCTGAGACTGCAAGACCAACAGCGATGAAGGCCAGCCCGAGTGCATCGTAGGTATCGAACGTTGACAGATTGCGAAGGTGTGGAACTCCACCACTCGAACTTTTACTGTCGGTATCATTTGACGATGCAGTGACAACGAATGCGAGAATGGAGACCAGGAGAGCCGTGATGGCCAGTGTTGAGATTGGGCGTCGAATGGGTAAGCCCATAATATCCTAAGCAAAGAACTGGAAAGTTTAAGTCTGCTGCTTGGGGATTGTTTGGAAGTGCCTCGATCACAAAAAACGAGATCACGCACGAGCCTAGCCGGTGAACTTGAAAACGTCCTTTTTCTTAGATATATACAGCAGGAATAGATCCCATTATTCGCTAGCTGTCCCAGTTTTCCGCCGTTGGAGGATAACTTCAACTCTCGTCGCCCCTTTGACGCGGAGTTGGCGCCAACGGCGAGACGAAGCTTGCACAGTTTCAACTAGCGTTCGTTTGCACGCGAGTAGCAGCACTATCGCCTAGTGCAGAAACTATCGCACGCATCTTGCATTTCATCGCAACAAAACGAAAATTGCGCCTTTCATTATTAATTGTATTGCTCTCAGTACAGGACACTTGGAACTTGTGCGCATACACGTTCTAGCTGCAAATGTCCGCGGAGAAGTGATCACCAGCATCGTCGACCGTGGTCTTGATTGCCTGGTACGTCATAATGACGCCTCCGATGAGCACGGCCGTAGCGATGCACAATACGATAATGGACTGTCGGCCTGTGCGGCGAACGAAGCCCAGGATCACCACTTGCGACGCAGAAGTCACCACAAATGCCACCGCGCACAGGAGCAATGCCCAGTCCCATGCGACCATCTTGAATACAGCAAATTTTGCAGTAGCGGCAGCAGATGAATACAGAATCATTAGCGCCGTCGTGGAGGAAGCGACCTCCGGCACGATGCCCAGTTCGATCATAATAGGACCCGTAATGATACCACCACCAACGCCAAACATGCCCGCGACGATACCGGCGACTGCGCAGCCCAGGGGGAAATACACCACCATCTTCTTCGTCCATTTAATGTCTCCGTCCACGTACTGGTAGTTGGCCGCACTCTTGCGGAGGTACACCTTGTGCAGGTAGTGCGACGTGAAGACGACGAACACGGCGACCCACGGAATCTCGATCAGCAGGATCACCCAGTAGGCAACACCTCCGCAGTCCACTGACGCGTCTCCAATACTGGCGGCCACAACACCGAGGTAGCAGACCATAATGGCGATGTGCGGGCCCCAGGCAAAGTGTCGTTCCCTCTCCAAGATCTGGACTAGTGAATCAGAGGTTGCATGATCACCTGCAATTGATTTCAATGGAGCAGCATCGCCGCCAGTCACCGACACGCTCAACCGCTTCTCTTCCGCGTCGTTACCGGAGATCTGCGGTGTGCTGACCTGGACGTAGGCGCCAGGACTGGCGGGGATATCGGTCGTCACTTCGCCGGAGGCAGCCTCGGCTTCTTTCCTCGCAGCAACCTCCTTCTTGTGCAAACGGATACCCTTCTTCATCGTGCGCGACCCGCCCACGATGAGCACCACGACGAACAACAGCGACAGCACGTAGCTCGGAATGAGCTTGTTGATCAAGGCGCCCAAGACTGTACCGCCAATCACGACGGGGATCATGCCCAAAGCCAACTCCGGGTCAATTAACGGTCGATTGACGTTCGGGTGGCGCTTGCGCATGTTAAACCACGCATTGGCGACGGCACCACCAAGGATGGCCACGTTAGAAATGGGTGTCGCGCGTTTAATGTCGAAGCCCATGATGAGCACCATGGCCGGAACCATAATGACACCGCCGCCCACACCACCGGCGGACGACACGGCCAGTCCGATTACCATGAAGGCGATGGCCAGCGCGTCGTAGGTGTCCATTTCGGACAGACTCGGCACACCATCGTCGTCGTCGCTGCCACTGCCACTGCCGCCGCTGCCGCTATTGCTGTTGGCAGCTAGCGCAGTAGGAAGCAACGCTGCACCGAGTGCTATGAGCACCAGGAGGGAGAGCGCTATACGCGAATGGATAGGCGTGATAGACATGGCGGATAGTCCGCAAATTGTGAAGTGGGCTGGAGCGGGACAGCCAGACAGCCACGCAGAAACTTTTGTATCGAAATGCACAGCGTAAAGTTCTGGCGTTACGACTGCACAAACTGAAGCGACCATCACTCACAAATGCGGGACGGGATGGGCTGTCATGACATATTCCTCCGTGACGAGGGAGTGTGATTTGATCCTAGTCGGCCAGAGGACAACCAATCGAGTGCTCCGCTCGCAGCATGCTGTGGGTGTACCTACGGTCGCTAGTGTAGGTGGTTCAACCACAGCGTTGATATCTAACAAGTCTTGCTTACATGTATTAGGTGCCAACGCTAAACGTAAAACCAGAGTCTCACTTCCTGCTGCAGAGCCACAGAGCTGTAGTATTTGTTCATGGCTGTGGAAGCAAGGCCATCATGGTGCTCGCTAGTCTGGCTGACAGCCAGCCAGCAGGGTTAAACCTGCCAACTAATAATGCAAACTAGTAATACACTGGACGCTTGCTTCAAGTGCTGAGGTGGTGCTGTAGGTTCGAAGGTCAGAAGTCGAAAATTCCTTACTTGCTTTTAAGAGATCCAGTCACAGTACATGTACTAGGCTCACTGAGAGCTTGGAGCGAGCATGCATATTATAACGCGACAACTGTACGGATGGTACGGATAACTTACCAGGACCACTTCAACTATAAAAATGACATATCATGTGCCTGGCTCAGCGTTGATCTTGATATACTAAAGTCGCTTTTTCTCTATAACACGATTGTTGTGCCATCCTGGCCTCCGTGGCTACCAGTATTGAGACACATCCGTGGATCGTGGTGTGGCATACTGGGTGATCCTACTAATTGAGATTTCGTGGGTATCGCGTTACTTGTACAAGACTTACCTCCGCAAAGCTTTCGTCGTCTACCAGAACGTGGAGAGTAATATCCAGTGGACGAAAAAGAGCGTTGTCTGCTTTCCTCTGGGCTGTGTTTTCAGGCATTGTTGGGGATATGCTTGACGTTGGCGGACGTGTGATCACTGGTCCCATTTCGATTGGAACAGGAATAGTGCCGGAGGTCGCTTCGTCAACCAAGACATTGATAATGATCTTATTCGCCATCAGAACCAAATTTGACGTATTTGGCATGACCGCGTGGGGCTGGGCAGCGGTGTTGTGTCTGGTAGCATTCGTAGTAACTTCAACGACTCAAATTGTGATCCTGGGCTTCGTTCGTGCACAAGTCGTCAATCCAATATCATTCTCTGCATCAATGTGTCGGTGGCGATCGGTACTCTGCTTAGGACTTATCAGGCTATGAAGACTACTATCGACGATACAGATACGAGAGGCAAGATGAGTTAAGCTGAACAATACCACCTAAACATGCTCGTAGATTACAAAGGAAGTACATGTCCTTACAAGCAAGACTTTTAAAGTCAATGTACAATCCACGCAACCTAAGCTCCTGCAGTCTAGCGATTGTTTATCTGCATTGGGATGGATCCGTACTTCTGTCGCTCCGGGTGGCGGTTGAAGATGTGGCGAACCAAAAGCACCATGAAGCAGAGGATCAGGACCCCAAACACCGTCCACAGTAGGGCCTCAAATACAGCGGTCGTCTTTGGTAGTGATTTGCCGGTATCAGCACTGCCGATTCCAATACTTCTCACTTGGTCCACTTTGATGGCGGTTGTGAGCGTAGAGTGGTTGGTGATCTTCTCGTGAATTAGTGAGTCGACAAACGGCCGCAGAGTATCAGCAACACACACGTGTTTCAGAGTTTTACCGATCAGCTTCTTAAACGTTGAAAACGGGCAGCGCACGTCCGTAGCCCCATCGCCGATATCAATCTCCTCTGAGCAAGACGGGATGATCACTTGCACACGATCGGGTGGCTATTCCAAGCAAAGCACCACAAAGCAGGTTAGCTGCCGAGGGTTTACATAGCAAGAACTATATCTCACGTTTTCTGAGGACAACTCGTCGCCGTTGCGAATCTGTTCAGGAGAAGCTGCAACGAAGTATAGCTTCACGTAGAATCGACTCGCGTCCTCGGTGTCTACAGCTACTTCCACATCCCAAGACACTCGGCCAGTAGACTTTAGATTGCGGAACTCTGACGTCGTTGGTGAGGTTTGCTTGTTACTCTTCGTAGGAGTAGCGTGAAGTTCGAAGACAAGCATGCCTCCAGGCACAGGTTGATGCGGATGCCACCCCTTTGTATGCCATTGCAACCTGTTTCGCAGTGCGTTAAGATAAATAGCATATACAGTGCCACACAGGATGAAATTACAACTCACCGTAAAAGATTGCGAACATACAGCAGGTTAATGTCATGAGCAGCATAGTACAGTAGTCGATTCTCCGGGCCTTGCAAAAGATGGGGCCCCTCACCTTTTGCTACCGGCAATGGCTTTTGCATAATATTTTGCTCGAAGCTAGCAGTGAGGTGGGCGAGCAAAGTTGCTCCGAAGTTGGCCGAGTTGACCTCGTTGGTAATGAGATCCATGTGGGTCTACATCATCAACAATAGAGCGTTAGTATCAAGCACAGTTAATTGGCATAGCGTAAGTTGAAGAGAAAACCTCGTGAATCCTGGCCAGCGACAAGATTTTCTCGAACGATAATTGCGAAGGCAGACTCATGTTGTTGAGACTTTGTAGCAGAAGCCACTCGGAGAAATAGTCGGCATTGGAGAGCGTGTCCTTCCATGGGAGATAAAAAGCGCCATTCCATTGCGTGGGGATTCCAAACAGGTCGCACGTTGCGCTCTCAGTCGAATCACTCTTTTCAGGCTCCTCGTCGGTGCTGCATACTGATGCGGCGCAGCACTGGAGAAGTTCGTTAACTTCTGCCACTTCCTCTTGGATTTCTTGGAGGACAAAACGCGTGTCGTTGCTTCCGGTAATGCCTTCATACACTGCAAAGTTGCGTAACAGTACAGATCTAGTGTCAGCGAACATATTAATCTAACACAATTGTTTCAGACACCCACCAGCTCTCGAGCATACCGGGCAGTTCGCCGTAGGGTCTTGACCCTGTTCAAACAGCGACTGAGTTTCCTTGGTGATCGGAACAAGTTCCGTGCATAACGGATAAAGCCCACTCAAGAACGCAAGAGCAGTCAACTACATCCAAACCCCATTAGATCATCGCCGTCCACACACATAGACTAACAGATGCGCGTACATTATCGCGCTGGTTGTTGTCCGCGTATGCAAAGGTTTCCTCGCACGCGGCGTTTAAAAACTCTTCGTAAAGGTGGTCGCGAAAGTACTGCTCGAAAGAAATTTTCGTAAAAGTTAGGACAACCCACATGAAATCCGCGCACCGGCAGCGCGTCCCACTGCACAGTATTGCATAAAATAAGGCTCACCGCTCCCATTTGCTTCACGACGTGGAAGCCGTGCTTCGTGAGTTTGGGTGACACGATCTCCGCCGGATCTTCGGTCTCCGACGTGCCCCAGGCGTTGGCGCTTAGCGGTAGATTGAGGTTCGGGTTGAGTACGTACTGCTTGAGCAGATCCTCGGACGGAGACTCCGTTCCCAGTCCGTAAGGCCCTCGAACGCCATGGCGGGACAGCACAATCACCTGGTAGAGAATCGACACAAAGGAGATGAGACCAACGGACGAACACCATGCGTTCTGCGCAGATGGAATTGCCGACAGCTCACCTGACGCAAGCCCGAGTCGGGCGCATACATGGCTGCATTCACAAGCGACAGCGTGCCGAGCGCCAGGAGCGTAGCTGCTCGCCCTAACTCCATGGTCGGATCCTCGAGCGAAAATACTGTACTGAGCAGCACTGGAATGGTTCGATAAAGTACGACTTAAAATTATGTGGACCACTCTGTATCCCCTTCCGAAACTGCTTGAGAGGTATCTCATCGTTTTGTGGGGTATTACGGTCTTCAACTCAAGTTGCCAACATGGACAGCATCTGGCCATGCGTTGAATGGATCGATGATCGATTGCTGGCAACAACGGAGCAGCGCACGGGTAATCTTTCAACAACTCCACCTGATTTAGCTGCACCGACCCAGCTGCTCGCACCACCCACACGTGCCGGTTTCAGCTCGTGGAGTGTGGTGACAGCGACTTGAGCTGTGTATCTGAGCTCAGGAACCACGACTCAGTAGTGTCAAGCCTGGCAATGCAAGTTTTCTTGCCCTTCGTCGACATATATTTTATGGGCATGTATTTTGTGGGCCACCGTTTGTGGTTGGACAGGAGCTCTGCAGATGGTTGCCGAATCATTCGGGCAGTCAACGTGGCGCGGCCACGAGCTTGCCGTTTCGACACGAAACTTTCGAGTGAGAAAGCGTTAGTGCGATGAGATCTGCCGGGCGGACGTCGGGCGCCGTTACTGGAGGCGCACTGTCCAAGCAAGAGGCATTTCACGCGCGGCTTTGAGGTGGTAGGCTCCCGAAACACACACGTCCGGAAGATGACCAAGCCGGTGGCTCCGTACGTAGCGCGCACGCGATGGTCCGTTCGCACCACACACCGCTGCTGCAACCTACGGTTCTTTGACTCGCCCGTCCACAGGGCTCAAGAGCGGTGCCTGCAGTTTTGCCCAGCTCGCGCGAGCGCCCGTGTGTGGCTAAGCTCGATGTGGACCCGGGATCAGCTCCGAGTGTCAGCTGTTCTACGTGAGACTTGGGCTAGTGGCGCCGAGCCATCAATAGGGTGGTCCTTAGGTGGACAATGAACTCCTAATCTATCACTGTCTGGCAAGCAGTTCTTGCTGCAACACCTGCCCGTGCTCGTTTGACAGGACCGCTTGTCTAGCGTTGTGGCCTAGTATAATTCAGGCCGCTACGCTGGACTAATAGCGGACCTCGTGAGTGCGTTGGGACTTTCCCCGAAACCAAGCTGGGCCCAGCAGTGTGCCGCAAAACCCCCTGCGATCACTGTCCCGTGTCGTACGCCTAGAATACGGGCGGTCTCTGCTCACACCGGCCGTTCCAGTTTGTCGCGGCGTCGCCGGGCGCCCACAAACACTGCCCGAACCGCAGCGGTCGAAGTCGTGGGGCTGAGCAGAGGTACACCACCCTCTGAAAAGAGTCGCCCGACACGGCTGCGCGGTCTCTCCCGACCCTGGATGGCACTTTGTATTTGACGTCGAGCGCCGCACTGCGTTCCTACACGTGCGACCACTGCAATAGTCTGCCAGCGACAATGACATCCTGCGTGGTGCAAGTTCAGGAGCTCTCACGCCGCCTGCTGAAGCGCATGCGGCCGTCGCTGCCGGCCAGCTCTAGCGCCAGTGTGGAGGATCTCGGTGTAAACCGCGACTCGGCCACGAGCGAGGCGCTTCTCAAGGTCTGCAAGCGCCAGATCGAGTCATCACCTCGTTCGTCAGCGCCCGCGATGATGGCCGTCGAGCCACTACAGGAAGAAATCGTGGCGGCCACGCCCGTCAGCGATGTCGCCGCCGGACAGTGGCCCAGCGTCACCGGCTGCGAGGGCGTGCGCAAAGCGCTCACGTTCCTACAGACCTCTCGCCAACACGCGCTCATGCTTATGCTGCAGAACCACTGGGAGCGTGCCGTGGGCGTGCTGGAAAAGATCGAAAAGGCCACTGAAAGCGTCAGCGAGCAGCGCCGACAGGTCGTCATCCAGCAGGCCAACGCCGGCCGCAACGTGCTCGTGGAGAAGATTCAGGAGCTCGAGCTCACGGCCCCACGTCGCACCGTGCGCTTCAGCGACAACGTCGCCGTCGCCTTCGCCGAGGAAATGGACCGCAAGTGCGACGAGGTGTCGGAACCTGTACGCGAAGAGATGCTCGTGCTGCGCGCCTCCCGCAAGATCCCGCACGAGAACCTCTCGGAGTTCTGGAACGAGTAAGTCCACGGCCGCATGCAGGTGGAAGCACACAGGCGGAAGCACCGAGTGCCCTACAGACTCTTATTTAGCAGAGCGGGCTGATTGCTAGGCCCCCCGACAGGCATACTAGACTCCTAACTTATTCGGCAAAACACTATTTAACGCAATAACATGCCATCTTTAGAAACACTGCATCGCTTGCTTCCTCATTCTACCACAAAGGTTGGGTGGGGGATTCCTTCCAGGCTGGTCGTATCCATCGCCTGAAGTTCGAGCCTTGAAGCTTGAAGCTTGAGCTGTACCTCCACCACTTCAGCATTTCGGTGGCGTTAGTCACGGCTGCATGGACTTGAGGGCGGAACGCGCCTGGTCCATTCCGCCATCCCCGGATGGGACGCGGTAAACGAACTTCATGTCATGACGTCGCAACTTGGATCGGCGACCATTTTGCCGCTCGAAGTGAACGTTCGGTTCCGCAGTGGGACTTCCACTGCGCACGAGAACTCGACGCCTTGCATTTGTACGAGCAACATCCTTTTAAAGCACCATTACGTGCGCAAATTTTCAACTCAAATCGCCAACTCGCGTGTGACTTCGCCTAAAATCACCTGAGTCCCTCAGAAATGTGGAAGGCTCCCCAAATAACACAAGTGGCTTGGCGACAGCAAGAAATTGCAGCGCCATATTGCCACGGTCCGAACACTACGTAAGGGGCTGCACTGTAGCTTTCATGCAGGTCATACATGCAAACGTATTATAGGCTTGTCGGGGTTTTAGGATACAGATTTCGGAATGTGTATGGAATTGGACTGTGCAACAAAGGAACTTCTTTTGGCAATCGAAAATGGAAACCAGTTCATCATACAAATACCAAGATAAAAGTGTACCCTTTCAAACCCGTTCGGTGAACGCAAGTATCATTCAGCAGAGGACCCCCTTGTTTCCCAGACAGTGAGCCCATTGCCGACAGGATGGCCGACGCGACGCTGTACCGCACCGCTGGCCACCCAGAGAAGGCCCGACTGGTTTTCAACGCCCAGCTGCACCAACAGCTCAAGAATATCGCCAAGAACCGCGAGATCTCGGCCGTGCCGGGGGCGCCCACCATCTCTAGCAATGGCAGTATGCGCCCCACACAGCCCATGGTGCTCAATGGCGCCGGTCGCTCCACAGAGCTCAATGGATGGAGCCTGGAGAAGAAGATGATGGCGCTGGCTGAGGCACTGGACCTGCTACGCCGCCCATTCTTCTTCTACCTGGACTTCGGCACAGCGGCGGCAGCCGAGGCTTCGAACGGAGGCAGTGCAGGAGCCTCGGGGGACCGCAAACTCACCTACCACTCGTACTTTAACAAGATGCTGCCACTGCACGTGGGTCAGACTGTTTTGCTTGACTTGTGGTACGTAAACTGGCGAGAAATTGACTTCTTAACGTGTTTTTGACGGCATTTTGATACTCTTGCGAATGATAGGGACTATTTGATGGACATGGTCGACCACGTACCTGTGCGCAATCGTTGCCGCGCGCTGTATATGCAGGCGGCGGTGTATATCTGCCGTCGTGTGGAGTTTATCGAGGGTTACCCACTCGACGGACAGCAGGTGCACCTAGACTCGCTCGTGTCGAAGCGATACATTCGCTTATTGGAGCGAAGTGTGCGCTTCTGCTCGGTCAAGATCCGCAAGGCGCGATTCATGGCCGAGGAGCATCGATTCTTCGTCGCACATATCTACACAGCGGTGTATTTCCGCTTCCCGTTCGCCACTCCGAAGCTGCTGGAAGCTGTACTACAATGCACGGAAAAACTCGAGGGGAGGGGAGAAGCAAGCAGCGTAACTAGCAACGGATCGAGTAGAAATCTGAATGGGGTGAAGAATGACGCCCGTCCTCCCAAGACGAAGCATCGACGGGCACACCGGGGGAGCATTTCCGGCAGTTTGCGCAGCCCCCGACAGTATCGTCGCCACTGGAACGATCTCTCAGGTATGGTACTCGACAGAAATACCAGTAGTTATCGATGCCTGTCAATTACTGACTTCGCTATGCTGGTGTTGTAGAATCCAAGTGTCGACCAGACCGTATCAGTGGCGTCGACTTGCAGCTCGAGATCTTCTCGTCTTTTTCAGAGTACAAGTCGAACCGCGGCACAGATCGACTGGTGGTGCCTGTGAAAGGTGGCGGCACACCGGGAATCCCGCAGGATATGCTGAAGAAGGGTTCCAGTAACAAATCCGTCGCTGCTGCGCTCGAAGCAGTGTTCCAGCAGGGCATGAACCGCGTTGGTGAGGAACAAGAAGTGACCTTTATTTACCAGCTCCCGTTGCTGTATATCGGCCACAAGCTGCAGAATGACGCGTTTGTGAAGTTGACCGTGACAACTCAAGACAAGATCGAGGCTGGGCTGGATCTCTTTATCGACCGGGTTAAATCGCCGGGCAGAGACGACCTCATGGCGGTGACGTTCGTGGCAGCTGTATTGAGTGATGTGAGCAGTTGGTGCAACCACCGCTATGCAGACGGTCGTATTCTGTGGCATTGCGTGCCTGGATACTTTGCACTCGTGCGCTTGTACGTGGCAGTTTTTGAGCGGATGTGTCAACGGCGTGCGCGGTCTAGTGCAGGAGCTTCGTCCATGCCTTCAGTGAACCGTATCCTTTCCATTATCGAGGGCAAGGCGAGCGATCCCTGGGAAGACTATTGGAATGATCGGGAGATTGAAACTGTGCTGGATGCAGGCAGCGAGGTGCTCAAGAATGAAGCGCTGGTCAATGTGCTTATGCAGGTGATCCTGGAAAGCACCAACATCCTCGATCCTACGAGTGTCAATTACTCGTTTGGAATTCTGCAACGTATGCTCGAGGTCGCTTCGATGGCTGCAATGCCTGCCGCAACGGAGATTGGGTCGCCTGGAAAATTCGGCGGTCGAGTTCGTCACTGTCTAGGAGCGGCGTTCGATGGAGACTACTTTTTGAACAGCATGCGCAGCGCTCTGCAGTCGTCGCATGTTCAAACGCTTCTGAAAGTTCTCACATGCATCTACAACTGCATTGGTAAGAGTTTGTCATATTCTTGCGTTGACAAGACTCTTTGAGACTGATAGTAATGTGTTTGTTATTTCTTTCAGATCTGCTGCCGACTGCTGCTCGCAAACGACTTGTCGCTGAACTCATCCTGCGCGAGAACTTCTTCCATTTCTTTCTGCATTGGAACGAAGAGGTAAACCTGCTTTGTCCCGTGTAATATGTTTGACGTTCTCCTCACCTGCTGTGATTCTTTGCTTGTGCAGATTCGGAAGATTTTCTCCTACATGATCGTGTTTAAAACTTCGGCGTCAAACCGATTAGACCTGCCCAGTGCATCTGACCGGATTCTACTTGCACAGACCCCATTCTTCGAGGTTGGCCCACAATCTAGGTCCAACGGCTCAAGTTTGTCGGCTGCATCGCCTGCACTCAGCTACTTAAGTCACCTGAGTGAGCTAGCTCAGGCCATGCTGCGCCCCACTGCAGACAGTGAAATGGATCCGGCGAAGAAAGCTGCCGTGGGCAAGAAGGCTCTTCAACGTTTAAAGAATTGGGACGCTAGTGCTCGATTGAAGCGTACCCGTAGCGGTGGGGATGCTGTCTTTCGGGACAGCCTCGTTGACGAAGAACTATCAGTGGATCTTTCTATCGCCAGCAAACTGGACGCGAATTTCAAGATGATTGCCGAGCAAATGGATCCGACGAAACATCAACGTGAGAGTCAAGAGAATGGAGAACATGCGCGTGCCAAACGGTATTTCCCTCGGGAGCTGGAAGCTTACGCTGAACGTGCGTTATCGCAGTACGTTTTGGTGCTCTGGGAGTACTACGAGGCAGCGTTCGAGAACCCAGCGAAGATGCCAGTCGCACCGTCACTGGAGTTCACGATTTCCGTGCCGTTCTTCTCCGATTAATCCGACAAAGTGAGTGTATTACTAGTATGTAGACGTACACTAGGCGACTCGTTGACTGATACGCAAGTGCACGGGGCTCCAGCTAGACTTGAGCGTAGAGACTGAGCTGGCGGAACATTTCCTTGCTGCTGTACACTGTAGTTGTTGCTCCCGCTGACACATAGAAGCAAGCATATCAGTCAGTCACCAATTCATATACTTTTTGAGCAAATTTCAAGGTGTCTTACCATGTAGTGGCTCCGTCGTGAACATTCGCAGATCCCCTGCGCGTACACGTTTCCAGTCTCGTTTCCGACGTGCGAATAGATTATCGTGCTCTTTCTTGTCTGCCGTGCGGCCTATTGCGAAGGAAAATTTATGCAAAAGGTTAGTTGATAACACCACTTGCAAGCAAGTTTCAAAGCTAGTAACCCACTCGGATGGTCCTGCTTGCGTTTATGTGTGGTCCGGCAAGAGTATTTCTGATATTACAGTCGAAAGGTGAATACGACAAACATTAAGGACAAAATGATCAAACAAGTACCGCAGCATGCAGTATCAAAAGTCTCTGACGCTCCTCGCGATCCAGCGTGTGCTGCACAAATGCTCGTAACCACCACTGAATCAATCACAGAAACAAAATACACTTGTCAGAATGCAAAATAGCTAATCCACCATCTTCTACTATCGCGTACCCTTGCATCCATGTTGCGTAGCGAGTGCTTCTTCGTGCGTACGTAGGTTTCAAGAAATGAGTCGTCACGTAGTTGTTCGCGATGCCCATTCTTGATGCAGTTGAGTACGAATTCGCGCAGTGGCTGATACGCTCCTTTCTCCAGATCCGGACACTCATGCAGTTCCATGAACTCGAACACTTGCGTTTTAAGCACGAGCGGTGCCAGGTCATCTGCAAGTCCTCCCTCAACTGTCACACATACAGTGTGCACTCCGGGGTTCTCCAGACGGATGTCCTGAACGTAATAGACACCGTTGGGGAAGGCAGTATTCACGCGCTCGTTGAACACCACCTTGTCCTCGTTCTGGATGGTCACGCGAAGTGCTGCGACTGCGCGGGACCTCACGACGGTCGACTTGCCATTCTTAGTGCAAGCCACATAGAACCCCAAGTATCTGCACGGGCAGAGCAATGAGTCAACTAATAAATACACTGCAGCAGGGTAATTGAGTTGTACGAGGTACACACCGAAAGATAGAGAACTGGAGCGGAACTCGCTCTGGCAGCAGCTCCGCCCACTTGTCTGCGATAGGGAAGAGCTGGTGTCCGTCGGGCAGCGACGGATTGCGCTTGATGGTGATCGGCTTGAGGTTCTTGAGCGACATGGCTCAAACTTTGAAATTTGTCAATCCAAACGTCGTGGCGGGAAAAATCGCTTTGTTGAGCTAAAGAGCAATCATGCGTGGACCACATCCTTAACACGCTTCTAGAGCATTTTTAGGTTTGCTCGAATATCAAGTTATGTTTTGCAAGTGTCATTATTACCGGGGAGCATGAGCGGTAACAGCGCACGGCGTTGGAACATCGCACAGACGCACTACGTCGTGAAGCGGAAGACCGAGACGGGCGACAAGTTCGTGAACAACTACCGTCTGCTGCAGACGCTGGGACAGGGCCGTTTTGGCAAGGTGAAGCTCTGCGAAAGACTAGCCAACTGTGCTGCACCATCAACCAACTCCGCTGTTGCAGGAAATACTGGGATTGCTGCTACAAATGGAGGTGAAGATAATACAGTTGCATCGCTCCCTCCTCCGGCATTTGCGCCGCCCAAGGCACGGCTGTTTGCCTTGAAGATCTTCTCCAAGAAGATGCTGCTCCGTCTCAAGGACTATTGCGTGGATCCTGCGCTTGGAGCAGCAGAAAACGATGCTGGAGAAGACGCAGTACCGATAAGAATGCGTGCGGTGACGGCACTGGACCGAGTACACGATGAGATTGAAATCATGCGCTCGCTGTATCATCGCAACATCGTGTTGCTCTTCGAAGTTATCGAAGCTGACGACAGCGACAAGCTCTACATGGTGCTTGAGTACATGGCATGCGGTCCATGTATGGTTTATCGACCGGATACGAAGGACTTTTACAGCCGCATTACAGGAAGCGTACTATCGGAGGAGCTGGCACGTAGCTATCTGTCCGACATCCTGCTTGGTGTGCAGTACTTACATCAACGGAGAGTTTGCCACCGCGACATTAAGGTAAGCAACGGATCCCAGTTCTGCATTAGTGGTTGTTGTAGTCTCTTTGCTATTACTAACTGACTTGTTATTTTTCTTTCAACGAGATTAGCCAGACAATATACTGTTGAACGATTCGGGACGCTGCCACATTACTGACTTTGGCTGTGCGAAAGCGTTTAACAACGGTACATCGGGCGACATCTCTGGGAATACAGAACGTGATGGCGCTGAGCCGATAGTATTGTCCGATACGGTTGGAACGTACCAGTTTTTGGCACCAGAATGCTGCTCTGGTGAACCTTACGACCCCTTCAAAGTGGACATTTGGGCAGTGGGCGTCGTTTTCTTCATTTTCCTGTTCGGGAGGCTACCTTTTACATCCGAAAGCACCCGGGAACTATTTGATGAGATTATTCGTGCAGAGATTGTGCTGCCTGGCGCAGAAGAGTCTGGCCGCGAGTTACCACTTAGTTCCGAGAGCGAGAACTTGCTCCGTCGACTGTTAGAGAAGGACCCGGAGCAGCGGATTACGATTGTGGAAGCCCTTAGTCATCCGTGGTTTACTCAAGACGAAGAAGATGAAGAACCCCTGTCATTCTGACGCCAGGGTACTTTTGATCAAGTATTCAACAAAAATTCTTGTTTATTGTAATCTAAGTCACCGCCCAAGATTTTTTTCTTTCGAACGCAGTCGATGAAATCGTTGTAGTGTATGCTTGCTATTCACAAGCGTCCAATATCTGCGTGTACGTCAGTAATACTTCAATGTGCCATCCTCGAGTCAGAAATTTGCTTCTCATTGTAACATTCGTCAAGCATTTGCTGTGTCAGCTGAAACACCTCGTGAACTTGGACGCCATCCATGCCACCTCCAGCGAAAGGATCCTCCATTGTTCTTTCCACGTTGAAGATTCCAGTCATTAGCAGGCTCGTTGACACACTGAGCAGCAAACAGAAGGCAAAGTTCGTCGTCTGGTATTCGTTCCCACGCGCGATGTAGACGTAGTATGGACCATAGAACAGTGGCAGCACCAGGATGAAAAGCCGGGTGAATGAGCGAGTAGCTTGTGGGGTCCGATAGAACTTGATGTTCTGGAGTTTTTCGATACGAGCTTGGAGCAACCAGTGATACTGATTAATACGCGAAGCCTCATTTGCAGGCATGCCACAGGATTTCATGACCTCCACTTGGTCGTGCAGTTTACGGATCGTAGTCACGATCTGGAGCTGCAAGTGTTTCACAGGACTAACAAACTGCGAGGCGAGCTTTCGACCGTGTGAAGTAAACCGGTGTCGTCCACGTGTCAATGTTGGCATGATCAGCAGCGCCATCGTGTCATGAAGTAGTGCTTCTAACAAGGTCTTGGTCTTCTGAACGTGATCTTGTGGCAATTTCTTGCGTTCGTTCTCGCCCCAGTTCCACAATGCATTGGCTAGCAGGATGTTGACTAGTAAAGATCTCGACTCGGATATAATGTCCAATGCTTGCTCTCGCCGAGTGAATGCTTGTCTGATCTGCATGATCATGGGCGACACTACTGCGAAAGACACGATAGTCCACGAGATGTTGGCACCGAAACTCGGGCCTGTGCTGCTTTCGCCCAGGAAATAATAGAGAGACGTTGTGATCACGGAGAAGAGCACCACAAACAACCCCTCGAACGTAATGAGGTGGATGACGAACACCTTCGAGGCAGCATAAAGGTCCAGCACCGTGTCGCGGAAGCCCTCACTTGTCCGTCGCAGCGCCCCATTCATCTTCATTTCGTTGTCATCGCCAGCATAACCACGCAAATTGCCACGTTGTTCATATCGACGAGGTGAATCAACGTCCACTTGAGATTGAGGCGCGGCGCTGGTGCCGTACAGCGCGTAGTTGCCTTCAGTCATTCCAACGATGGAGATGTGTGCGATTTGCCCATGACGACCAGCTATCAAAGTTAACCTACGATTGATAAGATGGATAATCGATAGCCTTTAATAATTGATGTGACTTCCTAATAAATTGCTGCAAAAATCAAAGTTTGGACTTTTGTAATATCACATTAACTGTTTAATAAATTTGCATGAGTAAACGACAATTACTATCTTGCTACAATGACGGTACTGACATTGACCTTCATTGGCAAGCAGCATGGTTGACGTGAAGCTGGACGGTGCACTGGTCGGAATAGAAGAGTTTGTGGACAACCGCGAGGAGCGTCTGGTTCTTCACGGTTGCATCAAGACGACGTGCGTCGCGGCTGTTATTACAAAAGAAGCGTGATTCAGTACTGACGTGAGTTGTGCATTGTCTGTCATTGTGATTCCAGACCTGAGGACTTCGTGGTGCGCGAGACCAGTGCGACCGGTGAAGTGATTGACTTCAGCGATGAAAGTGAGCGTCTACCAACGGAGGCCGAGCGCGATGCAGTTCTGAAGAGACTTGAGGCACAACAGAAGGAGAAGAAGGAGAGGTTAGTGTTTGACGAACCTACAGATGGTTGGCGGGCTGCATTGGTGGAGCTGATTGGAGCGAAAGACTCAGGAGACGTCGAGCGTGTAGCTAAAGGACAGATCAGCGAGTGTTATCTACCAGCGCCAATGGAATTCCGAGATCGCGTATATCTTCAAGTTTGCATCCAGGCACGCTACGCTGAAGTTTGTTTGGGTTTTGGTTGTTGGAATCTAACCCTCCTGGCATTACTATAGACTTGTTTTCCAGGACTAGATTGTAAGATGCACAAGATATCGGTGGCGGGTGACCAGCAGGAAGTGCAGCAGATTCAAGTAGTACTGGATCCAGTGTACAAGAAATTCCGAGATGGAGGGATGACTCTGGAGAACTGCGAGCGTCTACTTGCATTCCTCCGAAAGGGAGCGAACGACCCAACAGCATCAAAAGGCATGCAGCTCTTAAGGTTCTGGCCCTATTGCTTGACTCTAATTTCGAACGTGTTGAGTGCAGGACTTGAGCTCGAGCATGAGGACACGAGGGAAGCTCGGACGGCATTGCATCGCTTGATCGCCAAGAATTCGTCGTCTTTCAAGACGAAAACGGAATCCCGAAATGGTATACAGCAATTGGTTGTATATTTCATGCCAAAGACCAACAAGAAGCGTAAACGCTCACAGCCGCCAGTGTACCTTCGATTCGTGCTCCAAAAGGTGAACCTATCGTGATATTTGTGCCTTCTTTTCTTACTTCTTGACACTGACTTCTTGGGTTGTAGACGAACGAAGAGCACTTTGCATGCTTTGACAAATTATCTCGCCAGCTTCGTCGTCCGCTGTCGGCTTTTTCATACGCTGGGACGAAAGACAAAACGGCCATCACCTTTCAGCATGTTGTGGTGACTGGAGTGGATCCTGATCGACTTCTGAGTGTGAACAGTGATCCGGCAACATGTATTCGTGTGGGAGATCTCAAATATGTTGAGAGCCCCATGCATTTGGGAGGAGCGAATGGAAACAGGTTCTCAATTGTACTCCGAGGTCTTACTTCTGAGACGGAATGCACGACCGAGATGATGCGGTCGTCACTTGAAACTACACTGGATAACATCAAGCGTCAGGGATTCGCCAATTACTTTGGTTTCCAGCGCGTTGGATTGCCTACAAACACGGTGAGAGCCCACCATATCGGAGAGACGATTATCGCTGGCAAATGGGAAGAAGTGCTGAGGCTTCTCTTGACAGTCCAGGGCGGAGATTCCGGCGATGTTGCTAAAGCAAAGCAGCTTTATCTCGAGTCTGGCGACGTTGACGCTGCTCTGAAACTTATGCCTCACGGTGTGTCTGTCGAACGGCAACTACTACAAGGACTAAAACGCTTCGGAAGCGATGCTTTTGAGCAGGCGGTACAGAGCATCACATTTTCTCGTCGCGTGATGTACATGCACGCCTACCAAAGTTACCTCTTCAATCGGATGGCATCGTACCGATTGCGTCAGTATGGCACCAAAGTTGTGGAAGGAGATCTGATCCAATATGACAGTCAGAACGATAAAGCAGTGAAAGCTATTACTGCTACAGAAGCGGACGAGTTGAATTGTACTCGTGAAGACGCGCTATCGCTTGTGCTATTACCACTACCTGGAACAAATGTGATGTTCCCATCCAACGCGACTAAGGAAGCATACATCAAGGTTTGTAGATACTGTACTAACAAGCTTGTGTAATGAGGTGAATTCACCACATTCCGACTGATACTGTGCTTTAGATCATGGAACAAGATGGCACGAAGGATGCCCTATGTGAGTCAGGACCCTTGAAAGGTGCTTACAGATCGCTGGTTGCATATCCACGTGATCTAGCGTGGTCATGGGAAGAACAGGACAATTGTACGTGCATCATGCTAAGTTGATATTTCTGTGGGCTTCTTCCTTGCTGACTCATTGATGTGCAGCACTATCGCTTCAACTTTCGTTCTCACTTGACAGCGGATCCTTTGCTACGATGTGCCTGCGTGAGGTGCTTCACTCTGACATTTAGCAACAACAACAACCAACGCGAATACACAAACGACTTTGCACTCAAAAGCAGCATTCAATTCATTAGTTCCGGCCATACCGGTGCATTGCCATCCATCGGCAACGAGGGAAGGTTCTATTTCTTCTTAGCCTCCATATCCTCCAGCGCCTGGCGCACGAGCTTTGCTCCAGTGACCATGAAGAGCGTCTGCCAGATACCCAGACCCAGACGCGGTACGATGCCCTTGAAGAGACCGCCGTAGCCCTGCTCCTTAATCACCGTGCGGAAGACCTGCACCATGTTCTGCTTGGGCTCGCCACGGTCGGCAGCGCTCTGCATCTGGATGCGTGCCACTTCGAAAGGGTGGTTCCAGCATGCCAGACCGCCGCCCACAATGCCAGCGCCAGCCTCCTGGGCCACCGTGAGTTTGGCGTCCTTGTCGCCGTGGAACAACACCTTGAACTGACCACGCACGATCTCAGTGAAGCCCTGGCGCGAGGCCCAGTTAGTGGCCTGGCGGAAGGCGATGGCTGTACCTCCAGGGTAGAAACCCTTGATACCGTGCGCGCCGTACACGTTGTGGATGCGCTGCATGGTGGAGATGGAGCGGTCGCCTGTGACGGCGCCAGTGACTAGGAAGGTGCAGGGGCCCATGACCACGACCTGGCACACACCACCACCGGCACCGGCTAGGAAGCCCGTGGCGCTTTGGCCGACACCCGCGGCCAGCAGCGAGTCCGAGATGGCCTCCTTGGAGAAGAGAAGGATGGCGCCCTTGGACGCCGACTCGACCATCTTGGGGCCTGTACCGGCCCAGAAGGCGGAGACGCCGCCGCCCTCGCGCATCACGTTGCGGAAGGCCTGCATCGTTGTCTCCGAACGGTAGCGGCCCATGCGCGTTTTCCAGACCTCGAAGGGCATGCCGAGCGTCGCGGCTTCGAGGCATTGCAGCATGCCGCCGTTGAACAGGTCGCGAGGACCCACTTTCTTGCCGGACGTAGGCGGAGGAGACATCTCGGGCGGGATAAAGATGGAAAAGTTTGTGGATCCTTGGGGCGGTAAATCGAGATGTGATGGCGAACTTTGATTCTCAGCCAAGTTGCTTTTGTTCAACTCGATGTGGTTGATGTCCTAAGCTATGGAGGGACTTTGATAACGATTTTAGGATATCTGCATTGAGGTACGAAAACACTGTTTTGCGCGTCGATTTTCGCCACGTACTTGGCTTTGTGACGTCACGCCGTCGGCGATGGAGGAACCTCGAGGACGTCAGTAAACAAGCATTTGAGCGCCATGGTGGCGCAATGCGAGTTTATCATCGATAATGTCGTGAGTGTATTGCATGTAGATCAAAAAGCAAGGTCTCAACGGCGGAGTCAGCAGCGTCTTTTTGTTTTGCCTTGATAATCGGAAGCGATCCTCTCGCGAAAAGTACATGTACGGAGTTAAATTTCAAAAAGAGGTGTCATTGCTGGCGTCGACGGATTAAATGAATAGTTTGGTCCCATACCTGGTAGTGTCCAGCGAGCTGAACAAGGATATCCATTTGAACGTCATTTTTCTTCAGTTCATTAATTTCCTCTAGCTACGGTCCGGTGCTATTAGATTTTAGACAACGTTGTTGCCTCCATCGTGGAGGCTCCACGAGAAACATGCCTGAAACATTTAACTGCAACTATCTGTCCAAGCATACACTGATACCGTATCAGTGATACGCATGCCCTTTCCAACGTTGCACACCAAACGGTTATGGCAAGCCACGCATGTAGGCTGTCAACGAGTTGTCAGCCTGGATAGTTCATTTTCGACAGGCAAGTTGATTGTTCGACTTTGGATGCTAGTGTTCATTTGTATCTCTTCGTCATACACTTTTTGGTACCTTTACCAACACCGTGGTGGTTCACATAACTTTGCGGGGTTTTGTAGCTCAACCTAGAATCCTAATATTTTAAAAAAATATCCCTTTCTAGGTCGGAAAGAGTCAGTAACAAAAAATAGACCGTCCATTTATTGTCAAGAGTTGGCTCCTACGTCTCCCAGCCAGAGTTGAATCGAACCGAAAGTACCACCTTCGTGGCAATACCTGTCCATAACAAACACAAGATTAAATTGGCGGGAGGGTCGACGCACGTGCAAAGGAAAGCCGCTCGAAGAAAAGGCGGCCGTGCGAGTCAGTTATATCGCTCTTGACGAGCTCATCCGTCCACTTCGATTCGCATCGAGAGCTTCCAGGCGTCGGAGCTTTTGGAACTGCCCGAGACCACTGCAGCATTGCACCCAGCTCCACCTGCCAGCCGCCAGAGACGGAGACGCGAATTTCCCGTCGTGCCCTGCTGTTTCCCAAGGATCAATAAGGATCGCCCCTTCTTTCACGTCTTGCAAGGGCTGGAGAGGCAGGCGACTTTAGTTCGCGATAGAACAGCGCACTGACTGCTGGGTTTGAATAAGGCAACGACCCCCCGATCGACAGGCGTGTGTGGGCCCCCCTGAGCCGAGTACGAAGCACAGGGAGCCTAAATGTCAAGGTCATACAGTACTGAGACTCCGTACCGCCGCTCTCAGTCTGTCACCAGCCATTCGCAGCAGCATCGCGGCACTCCCGTGCTGGAGGATCAGAACTATATGAACGCATTTAGCCCGCCGTCCAACGGCGTCTACGTCATGGAGACGCCACAGGAACACAACAGCGACGCGGCCCCCGATGGACGGCGCTCCATGCGTCAACTGCCGCCTGTGGACCAGAACGGTTCGTTCCGACAGCGCCACGGCACACGTGGCACTTCCGGCGGCTTCGTTACTATGGACAACAGCAGCACCATCAGCAGCTCCAGCGGCAACTACATTGACGCTATGAGCCTTAACAATACTATGAGTGCCACAGCACAGCAGCCTCTGATCTCGACACCGCGCGCCATGCAGAAGAATATCGTCCGCGTGATCGACAAGGACATGACACAGCAGTTCCGTGGTCGCTCCAAGTCCGTGGGTCAGGGTCGTATCCGCTGGTTCGAGAACCGCAAGTCACAGCTGCTCGGTTTCTGCCTTACGATGGCGTTCCTAGGAGTGTCTGTGGCCATGTACAACTACCGATGGACGGGACTTATTGCAGGTTCGGTCAATACGATCATCTGTGGCTCGGCCGTTGTGATCACGTACTGCCGCAAGAAACAATGGCATCAACACCCGAACCCAATTGTGCACAATCGCTCCGTGCTGAGTATCTTCATGGCAATCTGTTTGCTATTGAACGTGCTGGTGGACTTCGACCCTAGTGGTTCCAATACTGACTGCCAACGACTCGCAGGTATCACGGAATTCTTCTTCTTTACAGGCGAGGCATGGGGTCTCGTTATGGCTTGCGATCTTTTCTTCTCACTTACGAGTCCGTTCACGAGCTACAAGCGATTAATGAAGTTCTACCACCTGTGGGTGTGGCTGGGAGGTATCACGATGGGTGTCATCACGTACTCTGTGCAAGGCGCTGGTGGTTTCTTCACTGTAGACGGTCAGTCTATGACGTACGAGTCGGATACTGATACGGTTATTGGATTTTGCCTTGCGTCGTCGAGAATTTGCTGCGACTCTGGTGAAACTTGCCCCGACGATGTGCAGAAGTGCTCGACCACCGCGAGCTTCCTGAACGCGCAGAAATGGCCCTGGATTTTGATTTACGCCTTCGTGCTTCTGGTGCTGTTTGTGTCTGTGTGGTAAGTTTCCTGACTGTATTGGCGAGTGTTTTTGTGTGATTTGGCTACGGTACTAATATGTTCTTGTTGATTTATCAGCGTTCTGACGCTGGCTTGGCACCGACTTTACCTGCGCGGTGTCCCTAAAACGTACAACATCCGACTACGTGTGCTTAACTACATTTCCTTGTAAGTGCTGCTTGCTGATGTGTTATTTACGCGAGCGAACTCGTGTCTAACATAAGCTTTCTTGTTTTTACTAGTTTCACCGGTGCCTACGTGTTTTACTGGCTCCTCCTGTTGCTGCTGTACATGTGCGCGTACTTCCTATCGACAAAGAGCGATACGTCGAACTCGAAGGCCGTTGCGCAGGTGCTGCGTCAGTTGGTCATCTTCCTTATCTCGTCCAAGGGATACCTGGACTATGTGATTTGGTTCGCTGTGAACAATATTGAGCGGAAGGGTGGAAATGGACGCGATGAATCAGCAGATGTGGACGTCGATTTGAGCCCGCAGGTGAACACAGCCCTACGCTCGGAGATTTTGTACTACACTACGTCAGGTATTAAGGAATCCGTCCGTGCTGTGACCGACGAGTTGATCTCCATTCCCATCTCCGGTGAAAGTGAAGCGGGCAAGTCCATTAAATTCTGGTCGTTCTGTCCTGCTTCGTTCCGTAACATTCGACTGACGTTTGGCATCAGCGACGCCGACTACATCCAAATGTTCGGCGCCACCACCAAGGAGCGATTCAGTGAAGGTCGCAGTGGTGCTTTCATGTTCTACACGTCAGATGAAAGTTTGATTGTCAAGACGATGTCCCCGGAAGAGTGTGCGTTCTTGCGCAAGATAGCACCCAACTATGAGGCCTACATGACCAGCAACCCTGACACACTCTTGACGCGGTTTTACGGCTGCCACTCCGTCTCGTTGTACGGCAAAATGTACTACTTCGTGGTCATGGGTAACCTGTTTGCGGACACAGACGTTGTGCACCACCGGTACGATATCAAGGGATCGTGGGTGGATCGTAATGCAAAGGTCCCGAGCCCTGGTGACAAGACCGCGTGTCGTTACTGTAACGCATCGTACACGTTCGGTAGCACCAAGAATCAGGAATGCGGTGACGGTATGAACTTCCACGAGCCCGATATCGTCCTCAAAGATAACGACTTGATGACCAAGATCCGTATCGATCCAGCCACTGCACACCGCATCTACGACCAAATCCACAAGGATAGTGACTTCTTGTGCTCACAGGGCATCATGGATTACAGTCTACTCATGGGTATTCAAAGCTCCGAGTACTTTGTCGACACGAGCCAGCTGCCGCAAGCTCGCCGCGGAGTTCTCTTCACGCAACCCGCAACGAGTGTGGCTGGTCCGTCACTCTACCATTTCGGTATTATTGACTTCCTGCAGCAGTGGTACGTTGTTGTTAGTTTGTTGGTTTATTATCAGTTGACTAACCCATTTTTGTGTGACTAGGACGTTGGAGAAGAAAATGGAGCGCTTTTACAAGACATTCTTCAAGCGTAAAGACCCCGAAGGTGTCTCTGCGTTGCCCCCGAAGCCGTACAAGTTCCGATTCCAGCAGAAGATGTCGCGTATCTTCGCACTGTCGACCCACACTCGTGCCGAGAATGACACGGCGTTCAACCACAATTACCCGGCGCTTATTGACGTGCTGGACCAGGGCAACTTCGACAACCAACGGCACAACACGTTCATCAATAACTCAGTGGTGGACCAGCGACCGGTCTTCAACCCGGACTTGCAGCAGGACATCCGTGCGGTGTAGATATCCCCAAAGCGTAATGAGTTAAGCAAGGGGCCAGGAATGTGTTGCGAAGCGAGCGCCACATTACTTGGAAACCCCACTTTTGATAAGTAGGAGAAGAGAAAGAGAATCATTTTATAATACTCGTCGTGTTCATGAGTAGAAGTATTACTCGTTGAATAGTGAGTGAAAGTGCAGAATTTCGATACAAAGTCATATTTCAGTTTTAGCCAATCAGATTGTCCCACATAGACAGCACTTCCCCCTTCACTACAAAAGCGCCGACTGCTCTCAACATGGTGAAGGTGCGGCTTCATGCTCTCGTTCTATGCGTCTCTGCAGCAGACCGACATGCGTCACTATTGAATTACCTTAGTTGGCGACTTCGCTGACTCCTGTGAATGCTTGACTACATTGTGGCTGCTCTGTAGGCGGCATCTCCGAGCGTGAAAGCGATCTTTATCTTGGACAGCGATGGCAATCGCGTGTGTGCCAAGTATTACGACAAGTCGTACCCGACGCAGAAGGAGCAGCTCGCTCTGGAGAAGAAGTTGTTCGCCAAAACCAAAAACTCTAGTGCCCGTATGGAAGGTGCGAGCACTTCAGCAACTGCGTAGTGATGACTGTTGGGACAGAATTTTAACTTTGTTCGCTTGCACCCTTAGCCGACATTGTTCTTATCGAGAATATCGTGAGCGTATTCCGCTGCGGATCGGACACGACAATGCACGTGATTGGATCGGCTTCGGAGGTGAGTGAGGATTTTGAGCAACAGAGCGAAGAGCTGTGCTGATATTTCGGTGTCAATGTGTCTAGAACGAGCTCATCCTGTTGACGGTCTTGGACTCAGCCTTCGATGCTGTCAGCAACTTGCTCAAGTACGTATCTGCTGATAATATCTCTAGCGTGTTGATTATTGTGGAGTTGGTGTACTGGATCTGACAGGAGTGACGTTGTATCTTTAGGGGACGGATGGACCGTCATGTGATGCTGGACAACATCGAATTGGTGCTACTTACGTTCGACGAAGTGGTGGATGGCGGGTATGATGAGTGGATATGCTGGATGAAATGGGTTGCTCGATATCTAAGTGGATCACTTTCTGTACAGAATTATCTTGGAGGTCGACACGCCGTCTATCTCGAACCGTGTGCTCATGCGCGTAAGTTTTTTTCTTTATTGTTATATTTCCTTGCTACTTTAGCTGTGCTGGGTTGTCTGACAAACCCTGTTTGCTTTGTGCTTACCAGGGTATCGACAACGAAGTTCCCATGGCAGAACTCACCATTTCACAGGTTGGTTGGCACATATTTGACTGGAGTAATCTACGGAATAGGTTGCTCATACTGTTGCATTTTGCTGTGACCTCTGTAGGCGTTCGCTTCGGCTCGTGAGCAGTTCTCGCGCTCCTTCCGTAGCTAGACGGCATCCTGTGTGCCACATTAAATGTGCTTTTACTTTTGCCCTCTTTTTTTTTCTTCCTGAACGCGGTGGTAAAAGTTGCGTTGTTCAAAGTAGAGTTGGTCCTCAAGGTCACAGTTCTCAATATTAAGCCATCTGATTCGTCATAATTCTGACATGATCGAAACTTCTATTGGTCAAAAATTTAAGTGAAGCTTGTCATGTTCCATTTGCGAAGGTACCGTTCAACTGCGTCAAGCCGTTGCTGATCATGGCGGCAAACCAGGAGAAGGAGAACACGCCGGAGCAGGAGCAGACGAAGCCCTGGGGGCGATTCACGTTCGTTTCCAAAGAGCCAGCGGAAGACAGCGACCACATCTACTTCCGCAACAAAGTGACCACGATCGGCCGCAACAAACGTCGTTGCGATATCGTGATCGACAAGCTCTTCATCAGCAGCGTGGTACGAACAAACTCTGGAGCATAATATGCATTGCATAGCGCAGCGCTATGGCGAAATAGCGATTAACTTGAGCGATGTTTTGTGCTGTCCTGTTTGGTGGATTCGCCAGCATTGCGTGGTACAGTTGAATGGTACAGACAACACGGGAAAGCCAATTGCCAAGCTCAGTGATAACAGGTTGCATTCCGTTTGATAGCTTTTTCCAACGAAAGCCACACAGATCACTAACGGTATAATGCAGCCGCAACGGTATTTGGGTCAATGCGGATCGTGTCGGCAAAGGAGCTTCGGTGACGTTGGGCAACGGGTACACTGTCCACTTCACTAAGCCTGGCACTACTCCAGCAGGTACGGAAGACAATATATATACCTTCTTTGCTCGCGCTCACTCAGATGCGTTGTTATTGTTATTGTCTTAACAGGAGTCACTCCAATGGCATACAAGTTTGAGTTTCTGAAGTAAGTGTAAAGCATTTAGTGGCTCTATTCGATCCATACTCATTTGTACTGTGTAGCAGCTCTCATAGTTCTCGTCCTGCTTCCCCGAAGAGTGAGGCAAACGAAGTACCAGAAGACATTAACATGACCGTTGTAGCAGACGAGTCTTTCGAGGCTACACAATTGGATATCCATGCAGATCCGCCATCTCCGTCAGAGAAAAAGCGCAAGCGAGAAGATGAAGAGCCTGCAGCTGTAGCTGTTGCTACACAGGAACTTGAACGCATGCTGAAGGCTGCTGAATCTCAACTCATGGCTACACAAAGCAAGTTAAAGGCTGCAGAAGCCCAGACTGCAGCTCTGAGCGAAGAACTGGAGCAAAATGTGAGGGTTAAAGTGGACAAACTTGCGCAAGAAAACATGAATTTAATGAGCAGGCTGGAGGTAGCGACGGTGGAGAACCTTAAATTGAAGACAGACTTGGCTGCAAAAGACAAAGCCATGCAAGTGAATATCACGGAAGCAATGAAGAAGGGCATGGAGGCGGCCTCGAACGAGATCCAATCTTTGAAGGAAGAGCTGAGCGCACAGGATACAGCACTGGCAATGAAGATAAAAGAGGCCGTTACGAAAGCTCTGGAAGCAGACAAAGAGAAGAAAGCCCAAGAGATGACATCCAAGCTCAAAGAAGCCACGAAGAAGTACCAACAAAAGGTTGAAGC